AATTAAGAGACGGCGTAACAAGTCGAACAGTGACAATGAAAGTGAAAAAATTGGTGATTATCGTTTCGATCCAAGAAGCTACAACAATTCTTTATACCCGTCCCCAATAGACTGTGGAAAAAAAAGCATAAAAATAATAAACATGAAAATATTATGCCATACTTTCTCATGTGCATCTCTCTCAGTCCATCAGCTGAAAGGGGATGAATGACAAAGGCCTACCAGAAACAGTGACCAATGTAAACCGCGACCAATCTAAACATGGTAATATTCCAATCTCTTAACATATTTAAAGCTCCGGTTAATATCATGGAACATTACACTGAAAGGCACTAGAGAAATTGTCTCCTTTATAAACAATCTTAAATGTTACATGGCGCCACTTCTGGAGCTGCAAGGGGAGGGTAGGCCTAACCCAATCGGCGCACGCACCCTACCTAAACCAGTCAATACTCTCAGGCCATCCCTGTGCTGGAGGTGAAAATATTCACACCTTACACCCATACTCAAATATTATTACTTAATATACACGTAAATGTTTCTAAATCGTTTAACATCTTAATGTAACAGAAACTGGTCTAACTCCAGGCACGCATCTCAAAATTTCGCGGGCACTGTCTCTCCCTACCACGGTTAGCAACCAAGGTACGCCTGACAGCTACTGCCGTCAACTACGGAAAATAATATTTGATAGCTTATCAGGACCCGCCGCCTTAGCCAAGAAACAAGGTGTCATTGTAATGATAATGTCAAGTCACACAACTATTAGCAAAGAATTAAAGAGTTCGTGTCCTTGTCTATTTCTGGGTGTATAACCAAATACATTTTATAATATGAAAACATGCCCACGAAGTTTATGATCAAACAGGCATAAATTATCTACTCGAGACATTAGCATGAAAATGTTAGCCTTTTCGAGATGGTTCTGAGGTAAACAATGCCAGGACCTGATTAACCCAGAAATACTCTATATCGTTTTGATTTATTAGTACAAATTCTAGACATTTTCAGAAACAAAACTTCTAGACTCTAACACGAATAAACATCCGTGAATATACTGTACTGTACTTGCAACGATCAAACTATTTTTTTTCTAGTATGTCATTTTTCAAAGCTTGATTTAAAGACTTCTAAATATGGAAGACATTTCGGCGGGGAAATACTCAACAACACATTGGGGTCTGTGAATCCAACACTCATATAAACCAACTTGGAAGAGAAAAAAATCTAGTACAGTACTATGATTCTTAATACAAGTATAACGTGCACTATATAAGTCATCTACTCTTCAACAGCAGATAATTGCAAATAATACAATAACAAATGTTCTCAATTAGACGACCTCCAAACAGTTATCTACAGGTTTGGGCCGGATGACACATATAAATATGATATTAGGAGCGTACACTTGCACTCTCACCCAGAGCTAACGTACCGTCAGACTCTCACTAATATGGTACACTTCTCATGGCCGCCTGCCGTCATCAATACGGTACACACGTTACTGATACTTCTTGGCCAAGGTACGGCTGTCATCGAAGAATATTAGAGACAATTTCTGGGGTCATTATAGTAGTGTCTTCTTGCTATATGCTTAAGACTTACATGCTATATTTAGAATTCACTTACCAAAAGCTGCACTGCTGCCACGATCATTTGCCATGGTAAAAACGGTACACACGGTAAGAACATTGGTCATAAATGGGGATAAAGTATCGTATGTTGCAGGACAAGACTCATTTCTCCCATTCTATGATAAGGTGTGAGATTTATACCTTAAAAAAATGGTATTCAGATTCTGGGAAGGACCAACAAGGCTCGTGTTGTATCTGTTTACGGTCCCATGAAGAAGTTACACAACCAAAACAATAAACATTAATATGTAAGTCATCATTTTCTGCCCTTTGAATGACCTTCGTCATGTCCACTGGGGTGACTCGGCTATTCAGGCAAGAATTGTACAGGTAACGAACGATCTTGGCCGACCACATCATGGGCTTTGTTGTTCCATCTACACGACTGGAGAATGCCATTGCGGATATGGTGAATACACTTTGGTGTAAGACCTAAAGCTTTGTGTGTATAACTTCTTTAAGGGAGTTTGTTAAAAATCCATTACTTATGTAAGCGACATATAAGTATTTCATATTGATACATTTGAAACTAAATGAAAATTCGCACTTACACTATTATTCTGGACAAGGGCAACTGGCTTGTATCTCCAGACAATGTACTGTTTATATTATATGCTGAATCGGGAAGGCTAGTGATCCTACTATAATACTCAAGGCTCTTTAAATGCACACATCTTGATCTGAAATGGTTGTTCAGGTTTGTTGCTACATACCACTAAAATGCAGACCCGGAAGTTGTTTCGTCTCAACCTGATGTTTACGTGTCATCAACAGCTTCAGACCATGACTTCTACCAATGTCGTTGTGTGGTCCGTCTCGAGCGCGCTACATGATGTTTTCCTAGTCTCATCTTGAACGTCACCACCATAAATTCCCACAGTCTGCGGTAAACTGCTGATGGAATTTTTACATGCCATAGGCGGTCTATTAGCAGTTATATAACCCGGGTACCAATTTCGCTACCTTCCTCTAAACACGCCCAATTGCATGGATGTCACACTGCCCCTTCCACTTTAAAATGTGGGTGCAACGCCCCCGGGCCATTATATTGTAGGTCTGGGCAAAACGATAGGTCTACTCTGGTTGCCTACGGAGGGGAATGCTGAAGAAAATAATTGGACTCTACCCTTCGCCTCCACCCAAGTTGGTAGACTGGTCTGGGTGGAACCAGTAGTGCCAGGAATCTGCCCAGCTGGACCTTGAAGGAGTCCACTTTGTCGTTGTTCATGTTTGTTTTTTTTGTTCCTTGGCATATTAATGAACATCTTAACCCTATGGACAAGGCTGGCCTCGAGTACATGAGAAACGGGATGGTCAGTATCCTGTGGTAACCTATAACGGAAGTTTCGCAATGCCCAGCTAACCGGTTAAAGATAAACATCTAAAATAACACAATCGAGTATATGTCAGTGATGCATATGATAACTGGGGCCGAGCCCTACTAACACACACACTTGCGGTCCTGAAACACTGTCCCTTAACTGTCTTCTACCAAACAAGAAAGAGAAGATCCACTGGTATTATTTTCAGTAAAACCATTGCTATTGAAATTATCCGGAAACTAATAATACATAAGAAAATAAGGAGTCTGCAATAGGCCGGCTGGCCTGTGCATGGCAGCTCCTGTCGAGTTACTACCACTCTCTATCATCCATGAATCTATCCAGCCTCCTTTTGAAACTTTCCAGCACTTACTACAAAGTGGCTAAGCTTGTTCCACTCGTCCACCACCCTATTTGTGAACCAGTTCCTTCCTATCTCCCTCCTAAACCTAAACTTATCCAACTTAAATCCGTTGCTCCAAGTCCTATCCTGCTCGGATATTATAAGAACTTTATCTATATCCCCTTTATTGATTCCTTTCACCCACTTAATACTTCTATCATATCTCCCCGCACTCTTCGTCTTTCTAGGGAATGCAAGTTTAGTTTCTTTAATCTATCCTGATATGGAAGGTTTCCAAGTCCCGGAATAATTTTCGTCATTCTTCTCTGCACCGACTCTAGTGAATTGATATCCATTCTATAAGGGCACCAGAACTGAACCGCATAATCGAGGTGCGGCCTGACTAGCGCAAGATATAGTTCCAATAAGACCTCTGCACTCTTATTACTTACACAAAGCAACGTTCTTTGAAAAGCACAATAAAAGGTTTCTAAAACACAACAAAGCAACGTTCTCTAAAGTACACAATAAAATAAAGTTCTCTACAAAACAATGCAGAGGTCAAGAAAAACAATACGGCAACGTTCCTTAAAAATAATAAATCAATGTTCTCTACAATACAGTAAAACAACACACTAGAGAACACCGAACAACAGCTTTGTAGAAATTGTTAATACGCGTCTACGAATGACAATTAGTTTTTCTTTGTGTTACCACAATTATTAGCAGCTTAAATGCCGACGAAGGAGAACCTAATACTGCACAGTAGTTCACTATGTAAACCTTACGTGCCTTAAACTAACCAAGCCTATCCAACCTTATTTGACATTACATGAATGTTACATAGGCCCGCCCTACCCGAACTAATATAACTCTACCAGATATAATCTATTCTAACCTATCTCAAAGTTACCTGGCAGACTAATACAGTCAACGTTGAGGTTTAAATTATTTTAAAGTTCGCTGTTGCCGGGTAAACTATATTAGTAAACGAACAATACAGAAAATATATACTGTACATCCATAATTATAACGTGGCGTGGAGATAAATCTTGATAAAAACTCATGGGAAACAAGGGATGGATATATATATATATATATATATATATATATATATATATATATATATATATATATATATATATATATATATATATATATATATATAATTTGCATACACTTGACATTTAAAAAAAATTGAGTTTTATTGATAGGCCAGAGCAGGAAAAGGTAAACTTTACATATATAGGTGTAGGAATGTCAACAGAATCAGGACACAATTAAATTATACTGTTCGGCGACATTCAGGCCCTATAAATGTTCATATTCTAAATAAACTTTACAGCATTATGAAATATAACAATTCACTGGTGCTACTTATAAGCGTGCGGTCTATAAGCGATTTAGGTTAAGCTAGCTTAGGTTAAGTTAGGTCAGGCTGGGTTAGGTAAGGTTAGATTATGTTAGGTAAGACTAAAGAAATATTTGTAGACCGCACACTCGAGTACCATCAATTCACTGTTATCCTAAGTCACTCTTGACCTGGGACTAATTCGAGACATTTTAGTTGGATAATGAATGCTTTACAGCCCATTCAAATGTACAATGGACATGTTTTGATGCGAAAGAAAGAAAATAAGACTTGCACCTGATAACCAGGATCTTGAAGGTCATGTTATCAACAAGTGTGACCTAACTCACGGTGGGGTCGGCGTCTTCCTCGCTATCCTGGAACTTAGTGTTGACCCAGGGTCCAGTGGGAGACATTTAACTTGCCTCCTGTCCTTTTACAACGGCAATTCTAAGCGATACACTCTTCGAAATGTTCCTTTGTAAACGATGCTACAAAATGTCAGTAAGGAAGATTTGTGTCATTTTCATAACAGTCAAACTTAGTGATAACTGAGTAGGACAATACCGCCGCGACAACACTCCTCTGACTGTCTAGTAAGCACTGGTGGCCTGAGCGATAATTTTGGCGTTTATAAACCTCGCTGCGCACGAGTCGCCAACAGTTGCCAACTATTCTATTGAAAGTTAAAAACAATCGAAGCAATAGGCTTTCTGCAATGCACATTAGAATGAAATTTTATTATTTAATATTAAGGTATTTCATAAATGGAATCACCTCATTCATCAATTGCAATTGACAGTTGAATGCATGAAAATTAATCCCTTGAGGTATCATGCCAGTTCGTGTTTTGTAAATTGAACAAAGAACGTTTATCGAAGTTGTTTATTCCCCGGGCATAGTGCATTAAAAGCCTAGAGTAGATACACATTAGTCATGCGAACAACTTCAATAATTATTTTAGTAAAAACAATGTTCATTTGAAAAATGGCGGCTCTTTACGAAAAGAACGAACGTCATCGACAAGAGTGGAATATTCCTACTGGTCGCCAGGCTCCATGAGTGCTTGGCTTCGTGAATTGCATCATCCAGAAGCACCTTAAATCCTATTTATAGTTACTGCTTTCAGTTCTTAATGTTGAGTGACCAACAGCATTTTCTGGAACTTATAAACATGCAGTGTCTAGCGCTTAAGTTTTTACGTAGATTCTACGATACATTTAGTTACGTTGCACAGTTTCAGTGAATTTTAATTTTCAAATCTATCAAAATTGATTCGATTCTTCTGTAGTTAGTCATTCATCTTCAATCTTATGCTAAATAAACCATTATCATTTTATAGGCAAAACCATTAGACCAACAATAGTGACATTCATCAATCAAACTGACCAAATGATCGGAATTTTTTCCAGAAAAATAAATACAAGAGATGAGAGTTGCCTTACACTACACTACATTGACGTATTACAAATTGTGTTCACATGGATGAACTTAAGTCACAATATCTTGTCTGGTAATGGGAACAAACCCATTATCTGCCTCAGTGCAGGAGGCAATGATATTGGCCGGTGTAGGAGCGAGGAGCTTCTTGATAAGTTCAAGGCAGCTATAGATCGTATTAGGACTAAGGGAGGGATCCCTATCATATGCTGTGTCCTGCCTAGAAGGAGAGTTGGCAGTGAATGGTTGTCAAGGGCAGTTGGTGTCAACGACCGTCTTGACAGATATTGCAAGTCAATATCAGTCCCATTCATTGACAACTGGGACAACTTCTATGGCAGAAGGGACCTTTATGCTAGGGATGGGGTGCACCTGTCTAGGGATGGAGTAGCAACCCTGGCTGGGGCTCTAGAGGGGGCAGTTCAAAAGATATCGAAGTCTTTAAACTGCTAAGAGAACATATGAGCACGTGGGTGGAGGAGACTGCAGCGGGAGCAGGTAAACAAAGTGAAAGACTACAGGGAAATAGTGTTAGGAATGATGACAAAACTAAATTAGACAGGGAGTTTAAAACTAAACGCGGTAAGGGGAGGACTCAGAACACGACTAACTTAAATGTATACTACGCGAACAGTAGAAGTATGAGAAACAAAATGGATGATATTAGGGCCTTGGTATGTACCGAAAAAATCGATATAATTGCATTCACTGAAACATGGATCAACCTAGACACACGTGAGTTACCAGTCGAATACCAAATTGCGGGTTACAAACTGTTCCATACCGATAGGCAGACCAGGAAAGGAGGCGGAGTAGCAATCTATGTTGGGGATAATCTGAAGTGTGAAATAAATAAGGAAATAAAAACTGAGAGGAATACAGAAACAATTTGGATAGAATTAAGCGACGGTCGGGAAAAATTAATCACAGGAGTAATATATAGACCTCCCAATCTTGATAGCGTCAATGAGCGACTTATCTGGGATGAAATGCGCAGGGCTTCCATACACAACAAAGTCTGTATAGTAGGCGACTTTAACCTTGGCCAAATAGATTGGATTGACCTTACGGGTAACTCAGAATCAGAGGATTTTCTCGAGACGATCCAGGACTGTTTCCTAAGTCAACATATAACTGAACCCACACGGGGTAATAATATACTCGATTTAGTTCTGTCGAACAGAGAAAACCTCATTAGCAATGTCGAGGTAGGGAACGAACTTGCAAACAGCGATCACAAAGAAATTCGATTCCAGTTAGATTTTCAGGGCAGATGTAAGGAAAATTACACTAAAGTACCAGATTTCAGAAAGGCAAACTTTGACAGTTTAAAGAGGCAGCTGAGAGAGGGGGTGTCGCGCTTGGCCGTGAACCTGACAGATGACACTGACCTGATAACGAGATCTGAAATTGCCGAGTTCCACGACAATTTAAATAGTGAGTTACTTAATGCACAAAGGCAGAACATACCATACAAAAAGCTCAGATCAGACAACAATGACCCTAAATGGATAAATAATTATTTAAAGAACATCATTGGCCAAAGGAAGGCTATAGGTAGAAGGATAAATCGTGGCGAAATTCACCTCCGAGACTATTATAGGGTATTGGCGAGTAGGGTTAAAATCGAGATAAGGAAAGCAAAGAGGAATAATGAGGTAAGGATAGCAAGGGAGGCGAAGACAAACCCCAAAGGATTCTACCAAATGTATCAAACTAAAACACGAGAAAAGATTGGACCAATACGGTCAGACTCCGGCGAGCTCACTGATAACGACGGAGAAATGAGCAATAATTTGAATAAATATTTTTCAACAGTTTTCACCACCGAAAATTTAAACATGATACCCGAGGCACCGACTCTATTGAGAGATAGTGAAGAAAACAAATTAAGTGAGATAGTAGTGACTAGTAACGATGTTAGTAAGCAAATAGACAAACAAAGCCTAATTAGTCACCTGGTCCCGATGAGATATTTGCCAGAGTATTAAAGGAATGTAAGGAAGAGCTTAGTATGCCCTTAGCAAAGTTGTTTAACATGTCCTTAAAAACAGGCGTAGTACCAGAATCCTTGAGGATAGCGAATGTAATACCGATTTTGAAGAAGGGGGATAGATCACTATCCTCTAACTACCGCCCAATCAGTCTAACATCAATAGTAGGCAAATTACTGGAAGCAATCATTTCAAACTCTATTCGAAATCACCTGGAGAAGCACGGATTGATCAATGATTCCCAGCATGGCTTCACAAGTGGACGTTCTTGCCTAACTAATCTATTAACATTCTTTTCATCAGTTTTCGAATCGGTGGACGAGGGGCACAATTATGATGTGGTATATCTCGACTTTAGCAAAGCCTTCGACAGAGTCCCCCACGAAAGACTAATTAGAAAGGTAGAAGCTAATGGCATCAAAGGTGACATCCTTAAATGGATTAGGGCGTGGTTACAGGACAGGAAACAGCGAGTGAGCATTAACGGCACTAAGTCCCATTGGAGCAACGTTACAAGTGGAGTTCCCCAAGGCTCAGTACTTGGACCATTATTATTTATTATATACATAAACGACATAGATATCGGCATAGACAGCAACATAAGTAAATTTGCTGATGACACTAAAATAGGACGTGTTATCAAATCTGACGAGGACTCGGCAAAACTACAGGAAGATCTAAACAAATTTTTCGAATGGTCTGAAAAATGGCAGATGAAATTCAACGTCGACAAATGTAAAGTACTCAGTATAGGAGATGTAAACAGGGAAACCAGATACCAGATGAACAACGATGCCATAGAGAAATCCGACTGCAAGAGAGATTTAGGAGTAATGATAAGTAGGAACCTTAAGCCAAGTAAACAATGTGTTTTTGCTCGTAACAAGGCTAATAAAGTACTTGGATTCATACAAAGGAGTGTTAGTTACAAGACTAGCGAGGTCATCCTAAAACTGCATCTTGCTCTTGTGAGACCACACCTGGATTACGCAGTTCAGTTCTGGTCACCGTATTACAGAATGGATATAGAATCCTTGGAAAGAATTCAGAGGAGAATGACAAGACTAATCCCGGGCATTAGGAACCTTGAGTATAGAGACATGTTAAAGCATCTTAATTTGCACTCCCTTGAGAGACGTAGAGCGAGGGGCGACCTGATAGAAGTGTATAAGTGGAAGGCAGGGCTAAACAAAGGGGACATTACAAAGGTACTCAAATTATCCAACCAGGAGCGAACTCGTAACAATGGTTTTAAATTAGACAAATTTAGATTTAGGCGTGAAATAGGCAAACACTGGTTTGGAAACAGAGTAGTGGATGAATGGAACAAGTTACCAAATATCATCATTAACTCGAATACGCTGAATTGCTTCAAACATAGGTTGGATGCTTATATGAGCAATAGGGGTTGGGTGTTAACGGGACTGCCCAGTATGGGCCAATAGGCCCGCTGCAGTTTCCTCCATTCTTATGTTCTTATCATCACATGTGAAGTCTACTATTATTCACGAGAAAAGAACTGATCTTTCCCCGTACAGTATTATGAACACTACTCTGGTTGATTAGGCTGAAATTCACTCATTATATCTGCAATTTGCCAACAGAGTCTGTTGGCAAGTTGCGGATATAATGAGTGAATTTCAGCCTAATCAACCAGAGTAGTGTTCATAATACTGTACGGGGAAAGATCAGTTCTTTTCTCGTGAATAATAGTAGACTTCACATGTGATGATAAAAGTAATATTCAGCTGCTGTATATCAGAAAAGTGAAGAAATTAAACCCGGTTTGAACCTCAAAACTTGTTAGCTAGGTCAGGTTAAAGTGTTGCGTACCATTAACCGGGAGCAGCTACCAGTACGATAGACAGGTCAACTGAACTCTAACCATAGGACAATGTTCTAGCTCGTGTTAGCTGCAGCCGCTGTCTGTCTGATAACAATCTCAACGTTTACAGGTGATAAACAGAATGAGCTTGCGAAATTCTTAAATACGGACACCCTGCCATTGTCACTTAAACATAGTCATTAGCCACACCTGTACTTATACAATTTACATAACACACACAAGCGCTGACAATTTTCACATACCATTTACACAAGGGTTGAAGCGTGTAAATACAACACTTGTCTCCTCTCCTTCAAGTTGCCGGTTAACCCAATGGCACCCCAGTCCAAGCAAGTGTGAATTGCTACCTACAGTAACTTCATAGGTTCAAGGCTCAGTTTATAATGTGGTATCCGGACTGCCCATAACGAGTCGGCAGGCGACTCAGCCTTCGGGGTCCAATTTCACTTTTATTTCATCCACACACACACACTGGGGTCCGTAATATTATGCATTTATACCAATTACAGTATTTCCATAAGCTAAGAATGAGAAAACATATAGTTACAAGAGTCACAATGACATTATACAGCCATATTAGTCACCATTTTTGTATGCTATACTGGCGAAAAGGATGTACTATACAGTACTGTACAGTGCGCGCTTTCAAGAATCCAATTATATATGTCACTGTTATATTGATTCACACACAGTATAGATGAGTGCACTTTAGAAGCTTATCGTTCACTGTATTGACACAGTTTGTTCACTGGTGCAAGACATCAAGTGTTGTTTTTGAAATTCATCTCCAGTGGGGATAATCACAATATTAAAAGTCTACACGTAAATCACGTGGTAACTATAATTGTGAGACTCATTTTCATCACAACTGTCAGTGTTCCCGTCACCCGCGTCACCAAGTTGTTCCGCATACTTAACGTGGGCTTTCTTGGCAGCAGACCACAGGCCTCTACCTACTAATATAGCATGGCATTGATTACCTTCCTCATAGCCCGTTATTTTTTAGAAGTAAATCCCGTTGGCCTTATGTTGAGGCTATGCAGGCTGTGCCATGGGTGATGGACCAAATGATAATATTTTACGGCCCATGTGGTTAGTGGCACCATGGCTTAGTAATATGCGCGGTGCTGCCGGTGGCGGTGACAGATCCACTTCCCCTCCAATGCAGTTGAAAGGCGTCCTGTGCTGGCGGCAACAACTTGAGCACTGTTCGTTTGATGGTTAGGAGTGTCCGAGATCTTATCAATGCGAGGGAAAGACGACTGTTGTTAGAGTACACAGCTGGCAGTACAGTTTTTACTTCCCTGGTCGCTAAGGTCTATGGTAATTACAAAATCGCACCCAATAGAATTTGCCACATGATCCACCTTATCAACTTGTTTTCCTTTGTTTTATGCACAGCTCGTAATATTGTCACCATTTCAATTTTTTATCAAAAGGCAGAACATGGCATAGCTCAGCATCAACACCATTAGCAATCTTAGGATATTAGTGATTAATTGTACTGAAATGCAGTCCGCCTTAATTCAGACTTTATGTCCTCGATAACATCTGTTCTCTGTTGGTCTTTTATGACTTGCGAGTTATCAACCCAGTTTCGTCATTTGGGTGTATTTAGCAGCCGTTGTTTTTGTAACTCGTGTTGCCAGGGTCATCTAATCGACTAAAACATATACAGTACTGTACAATTTAAACGTGTACAATTATATTTCGGTGCTACTATATCTTTAGTCTAACCTAACCTAACCTAAATATCTTGTAGACCACATGCGATAGTAGCACCAATAGTTTTATGTTTCCTTTTACTTAAGATAATTCTATATTATTTTCTAGACGAGACATATTTTGCACGATGGTCTCGCTACCCCTTGTGTTCGGACTTAACGGAGCAAATGTTCTTTCTGTATATACTAAAGTTGTCCATGTATAAACGTTACGTGTACGCCCACAAGATTTTCAGAACATGTCGAGTGAATTGTCCAGAGATAATCAATTAGCGTTATCCTATGATATATGAAATTGATTTTGAGGGTCGGAATTTGAGCACCCCATTTCCTGTAATTGTGGCGGATTTATGAGAACCTAGCGATAAGTATATATTTACAGTACACCATTGTAATGCAGATTATTTTATTATAGTTATTTTTCACTTAAAACTAGTGTCTATCTGTTCGAAACTCTTGAGAACCCATATGTCAATACCCGCCACCCAATTAAACAGCCCCCCACCCGTACCACTTTGTACCAAATAAAGATAGCAGGGTCAAAAATATCCTAATTATTTTTCAATTCGGAGTCTCTTTGTTTATTTACTTGGATGATAATGAAGAAGAGCAGAGCTTATATCTTATCTCTACGTCTTATCTCAGGGGACCTTAGTGATATCATGGATACTTGCCGGACAAGGAGAAATAATAATAATATTATTATTATTATTAATAATGATAATATTAATAAAGCAAATTCATCAAACATGTTTATAATTGGTTTGGCAGGTATACTGCATTGTGAAGGTATAGTTTCTTCTGCCGTTTATCCACCGAAAACACTGCATTGACTCAGGAGCACACACACACACACACATACAGATTCACCCCTGTAGGAACATTCTAACATAACATGAGAGGGGTGGGGGTTACATTTGGTTAAATTAGCAGTTTTCGTCTATGTATGGCAACTCTACTAATGCTTAGTAAATTCCAGCAATCAGTTATTGTCTATATACTGTTCTGCCAGGTTCAAAAGTTCGATCCCTCCCCAAATGAAGAAGCATCGACCCCAAACAGGATACAAATGTTAGGGTAAGTCAATTCGGGGTCTCATTCACGTGACTCAGTTTCACCACTTTTGTCCCTAACTGTATATGCTGAACCCACGTAATAACTTCAGACGCAGACAATCCCGGGGTCACATAGCGGCTTAATTTTAAGTTATAAACAAAATTGAATATAAAAAGAATGAAACATGAATTGACAAATGATACCTAACCATCGAACCCTCAAACCCTCGAATCCCCAGAGTTAACGAAGCCGTTGATCTAAGTAATGAATCTTAATTTGTTTAATAATTTATGCTATTTACATTAATTTTGACTATTATTATTCCTATTTTTGCTCTACCTACTTACTAATAAGCTGTCAGTTTTAGCTCTTTTCATAGGTTGTAGAGATTTTATTTGTTTCATTACACATTTACTTTTGATCATCTGATTTTTTTCACACAGAGGGTCAAGGTAAACACAAAGAACTAAATAAACTCGTATATTTTCTTTAGGCCTCAGACACTGGCGCCATCTATTGGACAAGCTAGAAATCATAGGAAATGGTCATTTGTGTTAAGATTTTTTTTAACAGCAACTCTAATGTTTCCAGCTAATTTCACTTTCTGTACCATCGGTATTCATTTAATTATTTATTTTTATTATTTATCATTTCACCACTTATCGCTCCATTAGCCGTTCGGCCGGTTTGTCTGTTCTTTGTCAATTTTGTTATAAACTATATTGTCCAGTATTAGTACAGGGCCAAACTGGGCTGCAATCCATCACAGGTAGAAATGTACACAAACCGCGCTCTACTTTTCTTCTATTGGTTTCCGACATGTTATGATAAAATTACATTAGAAACAACTAATATGAAAGGGGATGACTGGATGGGTGCTATTGGATAATCAAGTTCACTGAGAAGTAACAAATAATAGACCTGCCGCCTGAATGACTAGTAAGTTGTGGTGAAATGATCAATTAAACTGCAATTTAATCATCACTTCTTATAGATCAACCACATAACTATGAACGTACCTTATCCTGTCTTTTTCGAAGATGTGAAACCACAGCTCTTTATTATTTCCTTAACGGCAATGAAGTGAAATAATGGTCTTACATGAATAAATCGGGTTAAGTATCACTTCTCGACTAGTATTTAGTGTCACAAAGTAAAAAAAAATTGGAAAACGTAATTTAATCCGAGTTAATAGATGGAGTGCATGTACCTAATCTAACCTAACCTAACCTACCATAACACAACACAACTCAGATTAAATTAAGTTTACCAATTTTTTGTGACTTTGTGACACCAAATACTAGTCGAGAAGTGATTGGTAACCCTATTTATTTATGTAAGACCATTATTTCACTTCATTGCGGCTACATTTGGCTACATTTGGGTAATTAGTCGGACCGGGTTCCGATATATTCAAGATCCAGTTGTGCCCAGTACTTGTCAACAGTGAGTAACAGAAGAGGATAAAGTAAAGTGTTATTGTTACAAGCATTCACCATTCTTCCACGTCCTGTAGTAGAACTATCCTGAACAGAGGCAGTAACGGACATCCCTCGACTACTATCATATACAATATATAATAAAAGATGTACAACTTCCCCCATCATATACTTCGTTTTCTATAGTTTTCGTAGATAAATAATGGGATAAACCTTGATTAAGACTATAAGTTAGACAAATAGCCCATTTAAGAATAGATATGGCTAATAGTTTTCATTCATAAACACAACAGCTTTTAAATGGATAGCGGCTTATTATGATTGTTAATTTATTAACTTGTTCTATGATTTATCCACATTTAGCTGGAAATGGAGACGGAATAATAGGAATATTAAATAAATGATTACATGTTGAGAACAATAGGTTAGATAAAATAGCAGAAAATTTTAAAAATAAGTAGTAAGTAAATATATAATAATATTAGTATCTGGCAATAATAGTTTAACGTTAGCAGTAAATGGCGTCAGTGTCTCCTCTTACTACAAGGTCTGCCACTAATACAGTTTTAAAACATTGTTCTCTACCCTGGCACGCCTTATTCATTACCTGACCTCTAACTAACTGACGATTATCTGGTTTAACATGATTGATGAGTTAAAGGCAGCTATAAAGTACCTGGTAAAAAGTAAGTATGAGCTCAGATGTTGTGTAACTGATTTATGGTCGTTGTGAGATAGATGGTTTATTTATTTAGTAAAATCGCTATACAAGGTTGCATTGATTCAGCATGTAAATGTACAGTGTAGGTAGACAAAAACTGGAAAACAGTAAATTGGTTCTGTCAAGGTTAGCCAAACAAAACCGCCATATGCTTATTTCCATTGGTGTTTATTCCTGTGAAGAGCTGCAGCCTTGGCGGTCTGACTAATTACCCAAATGTAGCCGCAATGAAGTCAAATAATGGTCCTACATGTATAAATCGGGCTGTGAATCACTTCTCGATTATTATTTGGTGTCAGTCACAAAAAATTGGTAAACTTAATTTAATCTGAGTTGTGTTAGGTTAGGTTAGGTTAGGTACATGCACTCGATCTATTAACTCAGATTAAATTAAGTTTACCAATTTTTTGTGACTGACACCAAATACTAGTCGAGAAGTGATTGTCAGTCCGATTTATTCATGTAGGACCATTATTTGACTTCATTGCGGCTATATTTGGGTACATTTGGGTAGTTAGTCAGACCCGCAGCTTGGTGCGTGACTGTAGGATGTTGAGGACTCTAAATAAACATTTATGAAGAAGTAGAACTGGTGGCAAAATTAATACATGTTACAATTAATATTCAATTAAAAATGACTCATTGGTCACTTGAGAAAAATACGGTGGCAATGTGTAGTTTTGGGTAATAATTTGGAACACTGACTCATGAGAAAGAGCAACTTTAGGAAAAGTGGACAAGGAGATGTTTCCCATAATTTTGGTAACATTGTATATATATTTGTATCACTTCATAACCCCCAACTGTAGTCCATACCACCATAAGAAGGAAATGATTTCTTACCCGATGAAGGCCAAAAAACGCATTGCACGAGGAATACGTTAATTTTTATATAATTTTTAAAAACTTTCGGTAATGCTGGAGCAGATGGCTAACACCGGAAGGAGTTGTTTGATGATGTTAATTTTCTTCACAGATGTTCATTGGATGATAGTACAGTAAGTAATAAAAATGATACAGCAATGCACAGAATCTAATAGAACCTGACCCAACCAAGCAAAGAAACCTACCTTACCTAACTTCCTAGCTTTATTTAACCAGTGGTCAGAAAAAGTGTTCTCTTTATTTATTGCATATTTTTGGTGTTTAGGTCATGAGGAAGGCATAATGCGACTGATTACATCTAGATGAAATTTTTGTTCATGCGTAAATCTCCCAAGGGATTTGAACTGTCATGATTGGTCAAAGTGGATCATGTGAACTTCACGTGAAAGAAATATGAATATAATATCTAGCGAAAATGTGTATGACAAACTTAAAATCCGTCAGTACTCTTGTATCATCTTCATGTCCAGATCACATCCAACAGATGTAAACAAATTTGGTTGTGTATGAAACCAGGTTCACAGAATCACTTTATTGCCTCCATCAGATAAGTAAGTAAGATTTTGGGTAAAATATAGGTTACTAAAGGTTCGGTTGAGTTCTCACAGGTTCTACTCTAATGTTTTTATTTTATTTATTTTTTTATATAATCTGTGTGTGTGTTTTAACCTCACATTTTCTATCATCTTCAAAGCCCTGCCACTTTGAAAGGCATTATTATCATTGCTTGTGTTAAAGGGTTCATATTAAACTACTAATATGAAATAATACTATCAAATTTACAACTTTTTCCTTTTCTGAACACAAGTCTTTGGCTGTGACATTAGAGCTGCAGCTGATGCCATTTTGGTTTGATCACACAGTGACATCTCCTAAAAGGTAGTAAGTTGCTACAATATAAAATTTATCATTCATAAAATAAACCAACCTGTCCTAACCTAAAATAATTATAGTCTGTCATCATCTTAGGAAAAAAGGCCTGTTTATGAACCACTAAGCACTACATCTTAAAAGGTCCTGAGTGTAACGACCAAAGTGTTGTGTTATTAGCTCAAGTATTATACACCTGCATAATGTTTCCTACTACTAAACCATTGCGTTTCATGGCAATTGGTGAGCTGTACCATCAGGCTTTTAGTTTATGGGGTCTCGATGGTCACTTACCTCATTAATTTCTTTGGTGATTTGATTGACATTGTCAAGCTTTACCCTACATGAATGAATATAAAATGCAGCCATGGTACAGTATTTCACTTCTTTATATTTAATTTAATTTCAGATGCAGCCAAGCGGCCACGGGATCTGGTTGTGTCAGAGCACAAGAATGCATTGCAGACTGTGGAAAAAGCTGCCATTAATGGCCTGAGTGCTCAACAAATTGTGAACCTTGCTACAACTGTTGTCTTTACAAATGCATATGGTATGACCTAGATGTACTTTTTAGTTTGAAAAGTGTAAGTACTTTTAATTGTTTCCTGTTTACTTAAATGTGTTCAATACAGGGAGGCCTAATTGTTCGTTGGGGATGCATTCCTGATGACCACGACTAACAATGAAAGACAAAGAACTGGGCTGATTAATCCATTGACATGCATGTTATACATGGAAGATATGTTATGACCATATAATATTACAGTACATATTATTTTTGTAATAAATTAATTAATGTACAGTACAGTTATTACTGTAATGCAGAGGTGTACAAAATACAGCCTGCGAGCTAGCTACAGCGCTCACTTACTATTTCATTCTAGATAAGATAGACTTGTATATTTCTAACACATTTCATATCACTTGTTATTCTATATTTGAAATGTGATGATAATGATAACATTTTATTCCCACACAAAGAAATTTTACAGTGGAAATAGGGTATGGCTAAATGGTAAAGATTCAACATCTAAGGAAAAGTGTGTACATACATACACTTAACTACCTGGAATTCAAAACATTTCTCTACAGCATCAATGCATTATATGGTGACGTGGAAATGTGCTGAAGTGCTTTTTTAACCCATGTAACGAGATCGAGGACTTTATACGGCAGAAGGGGAAGGACAGCGAATGGGTTGCTGATTTGGTATTTTAACATATTTAACTTGACTCCTAAACGATCTGAAATAAAAACTGCAGGGGCATGAAAAACTGATTTGTGGCATGTTGGAGGCAATTATAGCATTTGAATTAAAGCTAACAGTTTTTGTGATCCATTTGAACAAACTCTACATACATTTTTATTATTTAATTATTAATTTAATTACTTGTACTATTTCAAACGACGAACAAAGGGGCGATGAACAATGAGGATTTCATGTACAGTATATGCATGCCAGAACTTACTCTACAATGACTTCAGACTCACTTCCTTGATTTCCATAACCAAAGCAATTCAAGGAAGAGTTATTATGGCATTTGAAAAGGTTGATATAATTGTGTATACTGTACAATATTTCCCTGTGATAAATGCCTAAATGCCTTGTTTTGATTATTCTTATCCATATATTAATAGATGTGACCAGCCGTCGAAAATTGCTGTACTCCTTGTTGCCAAAGGATAATGATTTTCCATATCATATAATCCCATTGGCTGTCTCGTCAGCGAGTGTAGTGGTAAGTAATCTACACATCTTGCTATAAGGGATCCTCAAAATTTAATTTGGGACATTGTTCAGACCTTCCATTCCTCTTTTCCACTGACCTCGTCTAGTTTAATTTAAAGCTGGTAAAAAAGCCTTTATTGCTTGTTTCTGTAGTTAATGTTTGTTGGACAAGTTTGTACATGGACCACATGGGTTAAATGTTGTAAATTATGTTGATCCGGAGTAGTGTTTGTGGTTAATATCATTTGAAAATCCCAGTATATCTCTGTATATTTGCTTCTGAATAAAATATGAATCCTGAAGGAAATTAAAATTTTAAGTATGTGCACAGTACAGTACAGTGTGTCCTGATTTACGAGAGGGTTGTGATCCTGGAAAACTCTCATAAATCAAATTTTCATAAAAATTAAGCACAGTTTTCACATTTTTCCATAGATTCCCATTATTACAGCTGAGATATGTTCCTAAATAAAAAACTTTCCAAAATGTCTGAAAATGCCGCAAAATGTTACAAGACATTGGTGTACACAATAAGACAAGAATAAACATCATTGCCAATGTTTTATGGCCATTTTCAACACTTCATAGGTTAGTTGATGGCAGCTCTCATTGCTGCATGGTTTCTTGCAATCCTTCTTGTCCTCCCCTCCACATTTAGACTCTTACACCTGTTGATCCTATTGGTCTCGTCCATTCTCTCCACATGCCAAACCACTTCACTCTCCCTCTACACAGAACTTCACCAATACAGTACTCAGTACTCTTAATACCCAACTGCCCTATTAGCTTTGAACAGGGCTTCCTGTCTTTTATTGTTACATAACACATGCCCCTCACCATTCTCACTTCAACTTGCCCAAGCCTGCTTATGTCATCCTATTTAACTGCCCATGTGTCACTGTCATACAGTATTGCAATAATAAACATAAGTGAAATATATGCAGTACAGTACACTATGTATTGTACATTAATAATTTTATACCTGTTTTTAAAGAGAAACCAAATGAAATTTAAAACAAAATGAACAGTATAAAATGCTAAGTCAACCTCTATAACTACTGTATTATATTACTGTAGCAATACATTGAAGATATATTCTCTATGAAAATAAATTCCCATGCACGACTCCTAATAAGTTATTGCTACTGCATCATCCTAAATTCTCAATTTGTTTACATGGCTCGAACATTGCTGTCAAAGACACCTTGAGCTATTACAACACTGGTTTAAGCATTAGGTCGGCTGTGTTCTGTACTCTTTGTTTAACATTGACTTCATTTTACTTTTATGATGCCCTCAAACGAACATCAAAATGACATAACTGAGTTTAACAGTGCCTGCAAGGAAATGTAAAGTGCTTAGTGCCCAAAAAAGTGGAAATTCTGTGAAAACTAGACCAAGAACATTCTATGGGGAACTGAATATCCCATAGCACTGTGATTTCACCAAGGGCTGGCTTCAAATGTTTAAAAAGCGGTGCCTTAAAGTCAGTGGAGAAAAATATCCAAACATAAAGATGCACAAAGCCACCAGATTAGTTGATACTCCACTTACCCTCCCTAGTGCATTGCTGGCAATATCCACACCTTTAAACATTTCTTTATTTCCAAATTATAGTACAAGCTTTCTCGTACATTTCTACACCTTTATTTTACATAATTAGCATATGAAATTTAAAAATACTGTACAAGTACACAGATTATAGTAAATGTAGGAGAACCATGGCACACTGAAAGCTTGTTGACTTAATAACATTGTGAGTGTTAGAGATTAATAAGTAGGCATACCAGCACAGGTATGGTAGGTAGTAAAAAGACTATGTATTATTTTTGTAAATAAAATCCTTTAAAATTGAGTTCTGCCTGTACTGTACTTTTACTTAAGAATTTATAAATTTCTTCTATTTATTTTTGCAATAATTCAATAGGACTGATATTTAATAAGTTGAAAAGCAATGGCTTTAATATAATTTTCTAATGTGCGGTGGTTCAAGAATATTTTTTCCTATTTAGCTTTCATGTGATTAAGGTTATCCCTTAGTTAGAACTGCATTACTTCTATTCCCCATAGTAATGCTGCTTTTTCTGCAATTGTGAGTAGAATTTATTAGTACCTGAACTCTATTAGAATTGGTAACTCAATTACAGTATTTAATAACAGAGCAAAGTAAGTACTATAGAGAATATTGGTACAGTACTGAATTTTAATGGATCCTACTGTACTAGTCTTACTAAAATATTCATAAAGGATGTTGTGTTGTCATCATATTTATTTAGGGTCAGGATAAGTTTGCATGCAGTACTGTATAGATATTAGTATAATACACCTTAATAGTTTCATAATATATATTGTATAAAGTAAAATATATCCTTGCAGCTTGTGGGCCCGTCGTGGAAGCATGCTGTCCTCTCCTGGCTTGGGGCGCTCCTGGAGTATGGCATCATCTCCTCCCATAACCAATATCTTCACCTCTGTTATACAGCAATATTTAATTTAACTTTTCACCTGAACTTGGTATGTAACACTTATGACCTGGTTACCAAGTTTGTAACTGTAATATGTTCTTATGAGCAGTTTTGGTAACCTTAACCATATTGTGATGGTGTGGACATTAAATCTTATAATGAAACAAGGGTGTGATAGATGAATTATTTTAATATTGTACTGTATATAATACATGTTGGTAATTGTGTTAAATGGCTGTACTATATATTGAGATACACCCACTTCTGCTAGATAAGTGTTCTTTTGCATCAATATTGTTCTGTATTAACAACATGAGAGTTTGTATAATTGTCATTATGATCATATACCAGTTCCTTTTTCCAGTGTGGCTTGGCCTGCAAGGTGCTACATTACATAACGTTACATGAAGATGTTACGCAAAATCGAGCGCTGGTACTTATGAGACTAAAAATGAAACCAGGATTCTATGTTAATGTCTCCCAACTATTAAGGTTTGCAAAATAAATGTTTGTTAGCCATTTAGACTTTATTTTAGCAGAGAAGTTATGATGCTAGATTACTAAGTAGAACATGTACTTAATAAGTTTATGCTGTACAGGGCTGTCTCACTTATCGCAAAGGTTACGGGCATGAAACTCGTTGTGAATAGCTGAGCAATTTCTCCCATAAGAAATAATGTAAATAGGGGGGATATGGGCATTGCCGTGGTCACTACCGTTTTACTTGTTTTACTCAATACATTAGAACATAAAATAAATTAAGAAACAAGGGCATAATAAACATCAATAACAAACACTGAGTTTATTAGGTGTATATGTTTACAACTACAGTATACTTTACATGTATGAGTGTGTGAGTGTTTATGTGTGTAGGTGTGTGAGGTAAGTTTTAAATGTAGACTGTTAATTTACCTCTAGTGTGCTGTGTTGCTTGCTTGCTGAAGTTGGCATTAGGGGGGAGGGTGAAGGTATACTGGGTTGAGAGGAGGCTGGGGTCGTCAGCCACCTCACTCTCCTCACTGCCAGGGTCGTCAGCCACCTCACTCTCCTCACTGCCAGGGTCGTTAGCCACCTCACTCTCCTCACTGCCAGGGTCGTCAGCCACCTCACTCTCCTCACTGCCGGGTCGTCAGCCACCTCACTCTCTTCACTGCCAGGGTCATCATCCACCTCACTCTCATCATCACTGCTAGGGGTCATCATCCACCTCACTCTCCTCCTGCCAGGTCATCAGCCACCTCCTCTTCACTTATACCAGGGTCGTCCAGCCACCTCACTCCACATCATCCTGCTAGGGTCGTCATCCACCTCCTCTCCTCCTTGGGGTCGTCAGCCACCTCACTCTCCTCACTGCCAGGGACGTCAGCCACCTCACTCTCATCATCACTGCCAGGGTTGTGAGCCACCTCACTCTCCTCACTGCCAGGGTCATCAGCCACCTCACTCTCATCATCACTGCCAGGGTCGTCAGCCACCTCACTCTCCTCACTGCCAGGGTCGTCAGCCACCTCACTCTCCTCACTGCCAGGGTCGTCAGCCACCTCACTCTCCTCACTGCCAGGGTCATCAGCCACCTCACTCTCCTCACTGCCAGGCTCATCATCACCTCACTCTCATCGTCACTGCCAGGGGTCGTCATCCACCTCACTCTCTTCACTGCCAGGGTCGCCATCCACCTCCCTCTCCATCATCACTGCCAGGGTCGTCAGCCACCTCCTCTCATCATCACTGCTAGGGGTCGTCATCAACCTCACTCTCCTCCCTGCCAGGGGTGCATCATCACCTCACTCTCATCATCATTGCCAGGGTCACGTCAGCCCTCCTCCTCTTCCTGCCAGGGTGCACCATCACCTCACTCTCATCATCACTGCCAGGGTCGTCGCCACCTCACTCTCATCATCACTGCTGGGTCGTCATCACCTCACTCCTCCTCACTGCCAGGGGTCATCATCCACCTCACTCTCTCATCATCATTGCCGGGTCGTCATACCTCACTCTCTTCACCTGCCAGGGTCGTGGCTTCACCTCCACTCTCATCATCACTGCCTAGGGTCGTCATCCACCTCCTCTCCTCACTGCCAGGGTCATCATCCACCTCACTCTCCTCCCATCATTACCGGTCGTCAGCCACCTCCTCTCGTCACTGCCAGGGGTCTCGTCAGCCACCTCACTCTCATCTCATCATTGCAGGGTCGTCAGCCACCCTCACTCTCTTCACTGCCAGGGTGTCCAGCCCTCGCCTCTCATCCCACTGCTGGGGTCGTCATCCACCTCACTCTCCTCACTGCCAGGGGTCATCATCCACCTCACTCTCTCATCATTGCCAGGGTCGTCAGCCACCTCACTCTCTTCACTGCCAGGGTCATCATCCACCTCACTCTCATCATCATTGCCAGGGTCGTCAGCCACCTCACTCTCTTCACTGCCAGGGTCGTCAGCCACCTCACTCTCATCATCACTGCTAGGGTCGTCATCCACCTCACTCTCCTCACTGCCAGGGTCATCATCCACCTCACTCTCATCATCACTGCTAGGGTCATCATCCACCTCACTCTCTTCACTGCCAGGGTCATCATCCACCTCACTCTCATCATCACTGCCAGGGTCGTCAGCCACCTCACTCTCATTATCGCTGTCAATTTGCACTGAAAGCTGTTGTTCTCCACTGGTTGAAGGCTGTGGTTTTACACTGGTCTTGAACAGCTGCCTAAAAGCTGTGTTCTGTCTGGATGTAGGTCGGGTGGTTGGTGCACTTGGGGTTCAATGCATCAAGAGTCATTTGTTGTGCATTCTTCCTCTTCTCCTCAAGCACCTTGTAGTATGCTTGTATGTCTTTTTTGACATTGTGGATGATAGTGCAACTTTGGTCGACATTAGGGTCCATTTCTAATGCCATATCCATCGCCATCTCAAATGAAGAAATCAGCTTCCCTAGGTTCCGTACAGTGAGGAGTTGTGTTGGAGTTTCATCTGCATCTTCTCCCGCTGCAAGTGGCATTTCTTCCTGCTGAAGCCTCTCCAGTTCTATCAGGTCTTCATTGGTAAGTTCTTCATTGTGAGAGTCGCGGAGATCTTCTACGTCAGCGTCATCCACTTCATCAAATCCAGCCTTCTTTACAAGAGTCACAATAGTCTTCCTTATTGCAGGCACTGAAGGAAAAGCAACGAAGTTGTGCACACACACTCTGGCCACAGCTTACGCCACACACCGTTCATGTTCTGGTGTGTTATTGCCTCCCATAAATCACTGATGTTTTTTTATGGCTTTCCTGATGTTGTAGTGTTTTTTCCAAAATCCTGGATTTTAGGTTTCTCATCTCCATCTGTCCCCTCAATCAGCTGCTCCATGATACGCTGAGTGTAGAGCACCTTGAATGTAGAGATGACGCCCTGGTCCTTGGGCTGCAGCAAAGCTGTGGTGTTGGGAGGCAAAAACACAACTTTCATGTTCTTACACCAGTCAACCATCAGAGCTTTATCATCAAATTATTTTCCTTATAGTGACTAATGCAACTGGACACATGGTTGAACATGTAGTCGTGCATCACAGACCCTGTCACCCACACCTTACGATTTGAACGCCAGACGACAGGAAGTTGTCCCTTCACAACCCCACTCAGAACATGGGGCGTTTTAGACTGGTACACAAGGGGAGGCCTTAACTTCAGGTCACCCTCAGCATTTCCACCAATCAATAGAGTAAGGTGGTTCTTGGCAACTTTGAATCCCGGTGTGGTCTTTTCCTCCTTAGATATGTAGGACCGTGAAGGCATTTTCTTCCAGAAGAGTCCGGTTTCGTCCAAGTTGAAGACTTGCTTAGGACTGTACCCATCCTTCTTAATTATGGTTGCGAGAAACGGTGGGAACTTCTCTGCTGCTTCATGGTTGGCTCTAGCTGATTATCCTTGTATTTTTAGGTTGTGGATTGATATACGTTTCCTAAATCTATCAAACCATCCACAACTGGCATTGAACTCAGGTACGTAGGGTTTATCTTTAGTTATATCTTTCCACAACGATCTTGCCTTCTGTTAAGTCATGCGTTGCGATAAAGGTGTTCTAAGGCGCTAGGTCTGCTCGTCAATTCACGTGTTCAACATCCTCTCCATACTCTCCATTTCAGCATCACGAAACCTCATCACCTTTGTAGCCGTCAGGAGTATTGCAGACCTGGCCATCTCCTTAATCTTGTTGGCTCTTTTAACTATAGAATGCACCATAGAGGGAGCCAAGCCGTGCACGCACACAATCACTGTCGTTCCTTCTTCGTGTTCATGTCTTTTTAAGATATCCAATTTCACGTCCAACGTAACTGCCACATGTGATCTTTTAGCAACATTGCTGAGAGTTTTAGTAGCTGGCTTAGGCATTGCGAGATCACACAAAACACACGCCAGCACATGTGAGACCGAGGCGAGCGGGAGCGTATGGCGGATGAATACGTACTCACGTACACACACTGTCTTACACTGCGGTTGAGGCGCGCGGTTCAAAGTTTTTGCTCGTAAGAATTTGCGAATAAACGGGGCAACCATTGCGAATAGTGGAAATGGGTAACAATAAATTGATTGCGGATTAACGGGGTTATGAATACCGAGGCTATGAATAACAGGGTTTGCTTGTATTAGTCAAACCAGCATATAGAAAGACAATCATAAAGGAGCAGTAGACACGCAAAATTCAGGGTACTGTACAGTACATTATTCTTTAGAAACTGGCTGCTAAAAAAGTTACCTGTTTTTTAGCATCTAAGTTTGTTTATATTATTTTTGGTACTTTGTTTTTGGTGGAGTTGTTGCATTAAACACATTTACATTATAGTTTGTTTACAAAACTGTGCCATATGCACATCTGTTATACAGATTCTACTGTATATACACATAAACGTTCCACATTTCACACCTTGCCTTCTTTTGCAGACTTTACCACCTCTTCCGTCCAGATTTGGTAGTTGGTAAGCTGGCACACAGGAGAGTGGTACCAAGCACTCCTCGTAACCTCAAAATTGCACTGTTGGCAGCTAGAACACGCCTGCAGGAAGCTACAGAAACTACAGATCATCTTGTTAAAGATATTATTTGGCCTGATAATACAAAAGCAGAGAAGGTTTGTATACAGTATTGTCATTCCCTGTATTACTGATGGAGGTTGCTTGCCGAGTCACTGTACTTTTATATGGTGTTTGGGTTTGATGATACAGGCATGCAGTACAAGGTCACCTTAATTTTTTATCAGCAAAATATGACCACCTGATAATGTAGAATTGTATCTGTTCATCCTGTATTGTCCTTTTCATTCCAACCCTGTTGGTCTCGAGGATTTTTTATTTATTTATTTTATTCTATTTTTTTCAATAAAATATATAAAGAAATTAGATCCCTAAATGAAATTGCCTTGAGGCACTGAAAATGGCTGAAGAAAGGTGATGATGGTTGTGATCAGGGCTATGAAATAGTTAATCAGTCCCATGCTTTGGGAAGCAATGCCGGGTGCAATTTGCCTTGGCCTTGTAAAGCTAGCAGTGCAAAAGGGGAATTACCTAATCTCAGCAGCTGGCCCAGGGCATTAAATATTGTGAGGATATAAAAGATCCTTGAGAGGAGAGTGTTGTGTTCTTACTAAAAGGGGATAGATATGCTGATGAGTCATCTGTGGCATATTGCTGTTTTACTTAAGAGAATGTAGAATAAATTTTGTATTGCTCTAATTGGATATTTTTTATTTTATTTATTTATATAGGCAAATCCGTATCAACGTAAGATGCCCTTCCCTCAACCAGATGCAACCTTGTATACAACTAAATTAGAAGAGAAGAAAGAAAAAGTTATATTTGTCACACAGTATCGAAGGTTAGTACAGATTACTGTACAGTACATCTCCACTTCATTGATGATTGGAGACATATTACATTAGTACCTTTCTTCCTCTCTTCCTCCTCCTGATATAACTTTATGTTCCATATATATACTGTATACACACACATATATATATATATATATATATATATATATATATATATATATATATATATATATATATATATATATATATATATATATATATATATATGCAAGGAAAGAAGAAAACACGAAGTTCCCAAGCGCTTTCGTGTAATTCACATCTTCAGGGGTGAGTACAGACTAGAGAGAGAAATACAAATCAAGGTGTATATATACAGAGAAGGGTGAGACCAGGTCCACAATGGTCAGGTATTAGGTAATGACCCTACTAATCTTTAAATAGCACACAACGGTTGGTGGTCAGGTCAGATGGTCAGGTGACCCGGCCTTCTCACCTGGTCACAAATCTTCTTAATTACAAAATTGTCCAGCTTGTACATGCCGTTACTCAAATTCATGTTGAATGCTTCGGTATGTTTAATAAGACTAGATTCTATGATGTTCCTACTATCAATTGAATTACATGGTAATATTGAGGAGGCATTATCCCAGTCAATGCAATGCTTGTTATCCCTCAAATGAACAAACAGAGCATTGGATTCCTGGCCTGTCCTAACACTGTATTTGTGTTGTTTAATTCTAGTTGCAAGATCTTTACCTGTCTGGCCTAAGTAAAACATATTACATTCCTTGCAAGGAACTTTATAAATGCAACCAATTGTGTTGTTGGGGGAGTTCTTGATTAACATTTGTTTAACAGTGCATGAGTTTTTAAATGCCACATTGACGTTCCAGGTTTTTAGTTGTGAAGGAATGTGTGAGAAATTTTTGTGAAATGGTAATATTAAGATATTCTTATGGTCATGGGTGGGCTTGGGATCAGTTCTATAAAAAGTTTTCTTAGTAATGTTTAGGCATTTGTCTATGAAAGATCTAGGGTATTTAAGGTTTGAGCCAATATTATATATATATTTGTATTCCTCATCGATGAATTCCGGACTGCAAATTCTCAAGGCACGTAAAAACATTGTTGAAAATACTGACTGTTTGACTTTATTATGGTGGGCAGAATAATAATGAATGTATGAACACAAATTAGTTGGTTTTCTATAAATATTGAACTTAAAAGTGTTACCTATTCTGTGTATCAGACAGTCCAGGAATGGCAATTTACAGTCTTGCTCTAATTCCACAGTGAATTTGATCGAGGGGGCTAAGTTGTTAAGTTGTGGCCGGAAAGCTTTTAGGTCCTCATTACATGGCCAGAGACATAATACATCATCAACATATCTAAACCAGACTGCTGAGGGTGGTAAAATATTACTTAATAGTTTCTTTTCAAAGAATTCCATATATAGGTTGCTTAATACAGGTGAGAGTGGATTACCCATTGCCATACCAAATTTTTGAGCATAATATTCCCCATTGAATTCGAATTTGCAATCCTTAATACATAGTTTGATGAGTTCGATGAAGTCGTCTTTCGAGACGGGCAGTGAAATGTCATCCAGGGAATCTATGAGGAACTCTAGTAAATCATCAACCGGGACCTTTGTAAAGAGTGATGTTACATCAAAGCTGACCAGTTTAAAATTAAATTAATGTGTAAGTTATTGAGTTTATCAACCAGATCCATATTATTCTTGATATTGGAGTTAGAAATGTTGCCAACTAGGGGATTTAGTAAAGAAACTAACCATTTAGATAGTTTATAAGAGATTGACCCAACTGAGCTAATGATGGGTCTTGCTGGGTTATTGGGCTTGTGGGTCTTGATTACACCGTACATGTATGGCAGTGGAGGGGACGTTGAAGTAAGATGTTCAATGAGAGTAGCTTTGCCTCTCAATAGGGACTTCAGTTTTTTGTTGAACTGGGTGTTGACAGTGTTGAGAGGATTATTTATGAGTTTAGAATATGTTGTAGTATCACATAAAAGGTCATTCATTTTAGAGATATAGTCATCTTTGTTTAAAATCACTACTGTGTTGGCTTTATCAGCTTTAGTGACATGTGGGCAGGCAAGTTGACCTTCACTTGTCCATCTTGTCATATGAGCAGTACAGTGGTCCCTCGGTTAACGAGCACAATCCATTCCAGCAGGTTGCTCGTTAACCGAAAAACTTGTTAACCGAAACCATTGTTTCAATGGGTTTTTGGGTAATTGGTTCCAGCTCACCGAAAATTGCCTAAATTCGACAAAAAAGGTAGAAAAGTACACTTACTTTGAGGTGTGTATGTAGAAGGCTCCTGGATGATGATGATGATGATGGGAATTAGAATGGGGGTGGAGGAGAAGGGAGAAGAGAAGGCATTGGGGTGGAAGAGAAGTCACCCCATGGCACCATTTCACCCATAAAATTTTAGTTCTCTTGGTGTAATTCAAGATTATTTTCTTTAAATCAACACTGCACTGCATTATATATTGTCAATATATAAAATAAATTTCAAAATGACCAATAATTTGCTTGGAAACACGGAAAAAAAGAGTTTAGTTGAAGAGAGTCTCAAGCAAGATGTTACCTCCACTGAAAACAGAGAGAGAGACTAACGCCTGTCTGGTGTGTTAACAGGCTGGATGGCACCCCAGAAACTAGTTTCTTTACCTACAATTATGTTCAATAATTGTTAAAATGACTAAAAAATTGAATATTAAACTTTTAAAATTATTGAATAGTATAAACTTCTTGATATTTACTAAAATAGTAAGGAATTTAAGCCCTAAAACCGATTACTGTATTGGCGGGCTAATACTACAGCTGGTGGACCACCAAATGCAAGCGAAAACATGTTGAAGTCGTCTCGTAAAAAAACTCATTAATCGAGGGATTGCTCGTTAACCGAAGTTAAGAATCTTATGGAAGGTAAATCGTTAACCGAGGGATCACTGTACTTCTTTCCCACAGAATTATGTTAGCAGGATTATTGATACACAAAAAGAATCCAGCATAGAACAGAAAAATGTAATAGGCTTCTTGATGTGTATCCTTAGATTACCAGATCAGTTTATCAAGAGTGAGTTGAATTTTAAATTTGACTGTGGATATTTACTGATAGAGGAACATCACCCGAGGTCACTCAAGTGAATGTAGAGGAACGTCACCTGGGCTTCAAGGGTTAAGACAAAAATGAGCTGAACATAGCTTATGTTATGTGTCAGTTTATTAGTTAGAGTATAGAGAAAAAAAATTTATTTTCTTATGATTTGCAACTAATGATATTTGTTGCAACTCTTATTTTAGGTTTTCAGAGCTTGTTCATGGGATAGAGGAATTTCAATCATGGCAGTGGCCCAACAACCCAGCGACACACCTTACAAAACCCATCATTATTCCTCTCTTCCGTCCACACCATCGACATATCTTTGTGGGCCTTACCAACTGGCTCGAGTTTGCCCTTCGGACAGGCATGTATTTCACAAGACTTGTTTGTACATGCATACAGTACATATTTGTCTATATTTATTTATTTTTTACTTAACAGGCCTCATACCAAAGCAGAGCTAAATGGCTCTATCAGCAGATGTGACCTCTTAAACACTGTTTTCCCTTTAAACCTCTGTACAGGTTCTTTCATGCTGACCTCCTCACACTTGGCTCACTCAGTGTCTTTCTACCTAATCACTGAATATTCTCTACACTTTTCCACCTTGGTAATATTCCTAGTTTTGTAGATACTGTACTATATGCTGTATGCCGAATGATGAAGGGTTTTCAAGGTGTTTTGTTTAGTAGTGTACAGTATACTGTATGTAGTTTCCAAGAATTAACAGTGAAAATATATACACATGATTTTACAGTTAACCCTCACTTTACGCGGTTAATGTAACCCGCAGGGTCCCGCGTAAAGTGAATAACTTAACTTATGGGATTAATTGAAATGGAGTCCGGGCCGACCCCCAAACTCCACTTTTTGACGACACACAACTATGTTGTAGTAAAAATTTTATCTTAACTTTATGATGGTATGAAAAAACAAGTAATATAGAAGAGGTTAGGTTAGGAAAAATAAAGGTTAACATAGGAAAAATAAAGGTTAGGTTAGAAAAACTAAAAGTTAGGTGGAACACTTACGGTAGTAGAAGAGATGGGTCGGCATACGGGGATGGAGGCTGGTTCCGAGGCAGAGGGCAGATTACTGGCCCTCAGGTGAATCACCATTACTAGGTGAATCACCATCACTGTCACTTACAGTTGTCAGGGCTTCCCTGACAAATCCCTCAAAGTCATCTTCACTGTCACTATCACTGGCTTGGGCTGGCTGTGGTGGGTTGCGGGCGAAGAACTCGGTTATGCTTTTTGACGGCTGGTGTTTATGTTGTCGTGATACACCGTGATGTACGGCTCCATAGCCTGCACCAGCCCGGTATGGAAGACTTCATAGCGGTCATCGTCATTGTCGCGGGAAAGGAAGGACTTCATTTTCTCTGCACACTCCATGGCACCCTTAATATCACTATGAGTTAAACTGTGTTCTTCGGAGAATGACGCACCTTCTTCCTCCTCTTCACTGACGTGATCTTCTTCCAACATCTCGTCGGCAGTCACTTCAGGATCTCTGATCACCTCCAGGATGTCGTCGTTGGTGGTCTCTGAGAAGCCTGGAACTGTAACAGTCTGCGCAGCTTCTCTGGCAAGGTCCACTGCTACTGCAACATTCTGAACTTCACCAGTCACAGATTGACTCCTCCGCTCACCTGGTATTCCATGCAACACATGTCTCCATGTGTGACGAATTGTAGCAATAGACAGCTGATCCCATGACTCCACCAAGAAGTCCACAGCTTTCTTGATGTTAAATACTCTCCAGAATTGTTTGAACAGTATTTTTTGCTGTGCCAACTGTTGATCCTCATCTTCTTCGCTCTTGCTATCGGTGGTGGTGTCACTCAGGTTACGCAACTCTTCCCTGGTGTTGGTGTAGTCGTTCAGGAGTTTGAATTTTTTTGTTGAGAATGCAGCTTTTACATTACAGATTAACTCTTGGTCCATGGGCTGTAATATAGACGTAGTGTTGGGAGGAAGGAAGACCACTTTTACATTGGGGTGACGATCTAACAGTAGGGGCGAGTGTCCTGGTGCGTTGTCCAGCAGCAACAAAATATTGAATGGCACATTCTGTCGCTCACAGAATTTCTTTACATCGGGAACAAAACAGTCATCAAACCAGGAGAGGGACAGTGTAGACAACATCCACGCCTTACGTGCGGTCAGCCAGTGGACATTTAGCTTGGTCATGTCCATGGTTTTGTAGGCGTGCGGCTTGCGTGCTGTGTGGATCACCGATAACTTGAGCTTACAGGTACCGGAGGCATTGGTGGTAAACAGGACGGTGATGCGTTCCTTCTGCATCTTCCGGCCCCGAATCCTGCTGGCATTCTTTACAACGAAGGACTTGGAAGGTAGCTTTTTCCAGAAAAGACCAGATTCGTCCATGTTAAACACCTGGCCGTCACTGTACTGTCCTTCCTCCATAATCTCACGTAAAAACGGAGGAAATTCCCTAGCCGCAGCACGGATCAGCACTCGCTTCTTCACCACCAATGTTTATATTGGTGATCTTGTTCCGGATCTTAAACCTCTGTAACCACCCAGAGGAAGCATTAAAGGGTTTGGGCTCTGAAGTTCCCATCTTTCGTGCCACTGCCATGTACAGTTCACGTGCGTAGTCCTTAACAGAGCGCGTGTCGACCGCCATGTTCCGTCGCGCCTGACGCACCAAGTACCTCACAAGTAATTTTTCTGTCTTGAGAAGCACCTGGTTGTGAAAATACTTGATCATAGAAGCACCTGTAGACTTTGTGATCTTCATGTGCTCCTTTATCTTGGCTGCATCCTTCTTTATTGTTCGAATCGTAGATTCATTCACACCATGCTGGCGCGCCAAATCAACCTGCCTTGTTCCTTTCTCCAACTCTTGGATGATGGTATACTTCACCTCGTAGCTTAAGGAACGTCGTGTCTTCTTTGGCTTAGTGCCGCTGGGTCCAGGTAAGGAAAGGTTTCTCTCTGGGGGTGGTGGTCCGGCGGAAGCCATTTTACGGAACAATGGATGCACGTTTACACGGTGTGGCCTTGAGGGATGAAACTGCCGCGGCTAGGTCAAGCGTCGTCTTTCCTCCCCCTCCCTCCCTCCCCCGGGTGGACACGTCATAATACTTTAAGCCAATTACAGCTAGCAGCAGAGGGGGGGTAGGGATGCATGGCCAATCACAGTCCGATACGTCATATGACGTCAGTGATAACACAACAAAGACACACACTGCGCAACCTTACCGCGCGGCTTGCCCAAGCGGAGGGAGGAGGAGGGAGAGGCGAGGAGCACAGGCGGGCGGGTGGCGGGTGGGGCGAATCTAAAAATAGCGTCGCGCCGGACACACTCCGCGTAATGGGGTTCACGTACCGCGTAATGTGAGCACGTTAGATTCTGGCAAGGCACCGCATAAACGTGGAAACGCGGAATGCGGGACCGCGTAAAGTGAGGGTTAACTGTATTTTTATTTTCCGAGTTCATTAATTAAATATTATTCATGAGCTTCCAACGTGTCAAGAAGTATCGGCCTTTCTGAACATTGGTTCGTGAAATGGTATTGTATGGTTTGGAGGATGAATATACCACTGGTGATGTTTGATCATATGAAATGACAGGAATAAACCAGATGAGTATTTTGGGCCTGTTAATGTTGGGGAACACCATGCTTCTGTTACATCACTAAGAATGAGTGAAGGAGAGTCTGCATTTATTGTTGATTCCAGCCACCTTGTCTATCTATCTATCTATCTATTTGTATGTCAGATAAGCGATATACTGTTTACTGGAATATTATTGACACATAATACAGTACAGTACTGTACAGTATAGAGAAAATGGTGAAGTCTCGGGCAGATCGTGGTCCTGCTGATTCAGACCAAACCCCCCCCCCCCTTTTTTTTATATACATGGTAGTATTCATGCGTTTTGTATAGTAAAAAGTGATTACTGTTGATTTCAGGGTATCTCTTAATATCAAGTGCACATGGCCTCAAAATGCCCATGATATTGGTCAGATTTCAAAAATTTTCCCAGGGGGCTTACAGTTTCCCCCTCCCCATCCCTTTTGATATTATTGGATCCACCCCTAAGTCTGCGGACTGTAACCCCCATTAAAGATTTTGACAGAATACTTTTAAAGAGCCTCTATTCATACGTAAGACTCATTATCACCACATATTTTGAAATATATGACTTCACTGGAAACTAAACTACAACACACGAATCAATTTATGCTGCTTTAAAGCCATTAATGATTTTTACTAAATGAAAAATTTTATTTCAGGTGGGGAAATATCCATTTGGGATGACAAGGGTTTATTCGTGACCATACTTGTCAAATATATTTGTTTATTTATCACTTTATCTGGTGAATTGCCGATTCAAATACTATGTAAAAAAAATAAATACAAGTCAAAATAAAACTATTTTTTCTGCTGTTTCAGGCAGTAAATCATGTTTCAGTATGAGAAATGTAAGAAATCAAATGAAAATTATTAAACAATGCATCAACTTGTTTTGAGTAAAAAATTGTGCACAGTGACCCCTCGGTTAACGAACTCAATCCATTCCAGAAGGTCGTTCGTTAACCGAAAAGTTCGTTAACCGAAACCATTGTTTCAATGGGTTTTTGGGTAATTGGTTCCAGCTCACCGAAAATTGCCTAAATTCAACAAAAATGGTAGAAAAGTTCACTTACTTTGAGGTGTGTATGTAGAAGGCTCCTGGATGATGATGATGATGATGGGAATTAGAATGGGGGTGGAGGAGAAGGAAGAAGAGAAGGCATTGGGGTGGAAGAGAAGTCACCCCATGGCACCATTTCACCCATAAAATTTTAGTTCTCTTGGTGTATTTCAAGATTATTTTCTTTAAATCAACACTGCACTGCACTATATATTGTCAATATGTAAAATATATTTCAAAATGACCAATAATTTGCTTGGAAACACAGAAAAAAAGCGTTTAGTTGAAGAGAGTCTCAAGCAAGATGTTACCTCCACTGAAAACAGAGAGAGACTAACGCCTGTTTGCTGTGTTAAGAGGCTGGATGCCGCGCATTAAACTAATCATTTTACCTTCAATTATGTTCAATAATTGTTAAAATGACTAAAAAATTGAATATTAAACTTTTAAAATTATTGAATAGTATAAACTTCTTGATATTTACTAAAATAGTAAGGAATTCAAGCCCTAGAACCGATTAATGTATTGGCGGACTGATACTAAAGCTGGTTGCCCGGTCAGTGCAAGCGAAAACATGTTGAGGTCGGTTCGTAAGAAATTCATTAACCGAATTTTTGTTTGTTAACCGAATTGAAGATCCTTATGGAAGGCAGTTCGTTAACCGAAATTTCGTTAAATGAGGGGTCACTGTACTGTACAATACTGTATTATTATTATTATTGTTATTATTATGTTTATCACTACTGTATTATTATTATGACTATGTATTATTATTATTATCAAATGAGAAACCTTCTTTTTGGTTGGAAATAGATTACAAGGGCAAAAAATACCCACTAATTGCTGTAGATTGTATTTATTTAATTAATATTTATATTTTACATTAAGTAATAATTTTGTCTACTTGTTTCCTCTATCTTCAGAGGTAATTGAGGGTATTGGTAACCCAAGTGCAGAGCGATGTGAGAAACTGCTACAAGCAGCTCTTGATTTAGTCCAAGATACTGGTACAGTCATCCCTATTATCAACCACTTCATGACTGAATTAATGGTCACGTGGTCTGAGAAAACACACTTTGAAAAAGTAAGTTCTTTTGTCGTTAATCTCTGCGATGTCACTGTGTGCATCTCTGAAAATTTATTTGTTTGTTGCTCATCACTAGAAAACTCATGTACTGTACTGTATTATAGCCCAAAGTACACAAGATATGTAAGCCCAGGCAAACCCCTGGACTGGAAATTACTCTAATGCACCTTTTCACTCCCTATTTTTCATGTCATGTCACACCTCCTCATATTGGGAAAGATCTACCTTAAGGCTACCAAGCAGACTGTTATCGTGTTGTATGGTCACATTGGTCTGGATTTTTACACTGCTGACTGACCAGGATTGTCACAGAATGCCACCTTGTGGGCTCCGTAGGATGAAAAAATTACCACTCCTCACACTCCTCTTCCAGTTACTCCTAGCTTCACTTCCCTCGCTTTTCCCCAACTCATCTTTCCATTGTTAATGTACTGTGGTCTGCTGTATCATTACTATTATACTTCCACTTGACAGCTAATAAGACTTTTATAGGAGTGCTATCCTTATTGTTATATTTTCACTTGCCATTTAATAACACTAGTAGGAACTGTATCCTTATTGTTATGTTTTCCCTTAACAGGTACTGGCACTACTAGGAGCAGTGTCATTTTCTTCACCAGAATTCATCTCTGAGACTCTCCTGAAGTTAGTTGCCAGACTGTTATATGAGGCTCCACTGGTCACCTGGTGCAAGGTTATCAATGCTGTAACAAATACTACGTGCTCCTGGGCAATAGTAGCCCAGCAGGAGACCATTGTTGGAGAAAGTATGATCACCAATCTCTTGGAATTTAGTGTAAAGTATTTTCATGAAATGAGCCCAAGGTCAATAACCTTCAGTATATTTTACTGCCACACACAGTCTTAAAACCAATTGACCACAATACTGCTTCTGTTCTACTCTTTTGTTAGAAGCACAGTATAATAACATGTATTCCAACATTATTTTCTTTATACTCTTGTAAACCTTTACCTGCTTATTGTAGGTGAGCCCCCCCCCCCACACACACACACACACATACACACACACACACACATATATATATATATATATATATATATATATATATATATATATATATATATATATATATATATATATATATACCGTAAATCACTTAACAGGTCAGCGTGATCTAGGTATATGCTGATAACCACAAGGAAAGAAGAAAACACGAAGTTCCCAAGCGCTTTCGTGTAATTCACATCTTCAGGGGTGAGTACAGACTAGAGAGAGAAATACAAACCAAGATGTATATATACAGAGGAGGGTGAGACCAGGTCCACAATGGTCAGGTATTAGGTAATGACCCTACTAATCTTTAAATAGCACACAACGGTTGGTGGTCAGGTCAGATGGTCAGGTGACCCGGCCTTCTCACCTGGTTACAAATCTTCTTAATTGCAAAATTTTCCAGCTTGTACATGCCGTTACTCAAATTCATGTTGAATGCTTCGGTATGTTTAATAAGAAGATTTGTAACCAGGTGAGAAGGCCGGGTCACCTGACCATCTGACCTGACCTGCTGAAATTTTATATATATATATATATATATATATATATATATATATATATATATATATATATATATATATATATATATATATATATATATATATATATATATATATATATATATATATATATATATATATATATATATATATATATTTCCCCCTTATTTTTCATGCAGTCATTCTCACTGCTTGATAAGATGTGTTTTGCAAGTCCTCAACTCTGGCTTACCCATAGTGTTTACAAAGGTATATGATTACTCATATGTTAACCAGTTTTATATATATATATATATAATTTTTTTTTCTGAGTTGTATTAAGTGTTCAAAATTATTCTCAAATGGATTTAGTTTGATGGCCCTATCTCGATTTTATATTCACAGTGCCTCTGTAATTTTTGTTCCAGAATACCATGAGTGGCCTGATCAAGCTAGGTATGAAGGTTCAATTGTTGGCCTTTGGTTCCTAACACACAGGTTGGAGAAATTTTTCCTGGCTGCATTACTGAAATATGACTGTCATCCATTGGTTTTACACCATATACTTGACTACTATGTGAAAGTAGGTTGAGTTTTATATCCTCATATTTTTAATACCAGTTGTTTTATGTTTTGTAGCTCGCAAAAATTATTGAGTACAGTATTGTGTATGATTAAATTTATTTTTAAGATTTTTTCCTCTTCATTCACTAGTTTACATAGTGCTGTGTTACACAGAAACTCCAATTTAGTAGCTTTCCTTTAATTTTTGCAGGTGAACATGTATACCAGGGTTCTGGAGCTGCCAGTAGTATTTTTCCCTCCTGCCATCTTTACTCTAGTTATTTTAACTAAAGGTGACCTGATGACAACCCACCGTCTGGGGAGATTGATGTCGAGGTAATTATGGGCATCACCTATTTCTGTACTCCAATAAAAAAAACCATAATTTGCACCCCCCAAATTCAAAACCACTCCTAATTCGTAATGTTTTCCTGTTACACAATATATATTAAAAATTTTTTAATATTTGGTAAAGTTTCCAATTATGAGAAATATTTTTTATTTTATATGACGCGCATGTCACCATAGAATGCGACCGCCGACCGCCTGTCTCTTTATAAACGAGTACTGCACTATACGCGTCACGCATGTCGGTCATGGTCATTTATGGAATGTACAGTACATCTATGCTGTGCAAGCTTTTTCCCATTTGTTTTTCCATCATTGCCCAATGTTTGAGTCATTATATCTGGTAACCCTGGACCAAGCACCTAAATCTGATACTGTACAGTAGTTAGAAACATTTAAAATTTGATTTGGGCAAATAACGTAAAATTACCATTACTTTTGTTTTTCCCTCGGGAGTTGTCCCTCACATTTCATAAAATCTCATAATTTGTAAGGGCTAGAGCCCCTATTATTTTGAATTCTGGGTTTTTTACTGTATGTTGGAAAGGGGCTAAAAAGAGGGAGGGAAAACATCCTGTGTTTTTATTGATACCTGAAGTACATCCTTTTTCTGAAGTATCCCAGTTCCCAGTACTGGACACATGTTGTTGGGTGAAGGTATGGGAAGAGTGGTCAGAGGCTATAATAATTCATTTTGAAAGGAGAATGGTTGTAAGGAAGAGAACAAAATCTATAGAGGAATCGGTTTAATAAGTGCACCTGGGAAAGCTTGTCTTAGAGTAGCGAGAGAAATACATTGGTAATAAAAGGAAAGGTCTGTTGTTGATGCTTACATGAACTTTGATCTTGTAGCATGCAGGCTGCTATGTATCGAGTGAAGAATATGGAGACCGCAGGACCAGAGTCAGCAATACGAGAGGAATGTATAAGCTTGGCAGAAAACATCAACCAAGCAGTAATCTTCTACATGAGTGGTGTCTATACTTCTAAGGTAAAGTAAAGCGATAGTTTAAAGGACAGTACGTATGATTGTGATGCTGAGAACAAGAAACATTTTTGAGATAGAGATGGGAAAATTGAAGAAAAGTTGGACAGAGGTTACTAGGCACTGTACAGTACTGAGAAAATGAGGAGTGGAATAGTTTATAAATTAGAGATGGCTGGAAGCAGGCATGAGCTAATTAGTTAACTTAACCATTAATTTCTACAATTTAACAATTAAGTTAACTACAGAGTTAAATTTTAAAATACAGGTGATTTGATTGCACGGCGAACAGAAACGAATAATAATATCTTAAACAAGGAACAATGAGGAATAATATGGTCACTTACAGGGGTTGTAATTGTGTAGCTATGTCGCCGACTGGCTAATTTGCCACCCAGCAGCACTCAGAGCAGGTAAGGCTGAGCTGTGAGCTATTTTATTGTTCATTTCGTAATTTCAAGTAGAGATATGTAATTTTCTTCATTTTCTTGTACAGTACTCTGTTACACACACACACACACACACACACACACACACACACACATTCGTTCATACAAAATGTGCAAATAAATATAAACAAATAATTATCATAACGTCAAGAACATAAAGGGAATACAGTAAACAGTTCTTACCTGGTTCTCAGTTAGCTGACAAGGGTGGAGGAGCAATCATTTTAGTACACATTATCACAATAGTACAAGGTAATGAACAGAATGTACAGTACTTAATAACACGCCAAAGTCACAACAATAACAGCGATGCACAGCAATCAATAATATACAGAGCAATATAGTAAAACAGATTGCAATGTTCAAAGGCCATCTCAGTTACTTAGTTGTCATTGCATGTCCAATTCAGGCATGGGGCAATTAATTAACTTCATCATTAACTTCTACAAGTTAACACTTATGTTATGTTGACTAGTTAATCTTTAAAAATACTGGTTAACTTAATGGGGAAAAAATTTAAATTAATTTAAGTTAAATTTGAAAGTTAATTGCCCCATGCCAGCAGGAAAAGGGGAAGACCAAGTTGGTGGAAGGATGGTTAGAATAAATTGTAGCAGTAAGGGAGATGGACATCCTGGAAGCAGCAGAGCAAATGAAAAGTTTATGGGGATGGAGCAGCAGTTAGAGTGAGTAGATGTAGGATAGTCTTCTTGTTGATTATGGCCACCCTCTGCAGCATGGGGTAAAGGTTTGCATAAAGAAAAACTATTTATACTTTAGGTTGGTTCTGACCACCCAGCAAAATCTATGACAAGAGTCTGCAAAACTATGATGGAGTGTATATTTGAGTAGGGACATTTAAATATTTACTGGTTCAACCTCTTTCCATCTCTGTCTAGAGATTCTTTCAAAACTCAACCTTACTGTTTCCTCTCTTTAGGTTTCCCTTTTCCTTGATTTATCTCATACATGTGAAAGTAAAGGAAATATACAGATGGATAGAAATGTGGACTTTCAGCAGGGATTCAGTTAACATTTCCTTTTGATTTATGATTTGTGGTTTTTTTTTTTACATTTCAGGCCTTTACACCAAAATGGGAAAAGGTGTTGGACCAATTTTATCCATTCCACAACTTCAGAGATGTGCTGAAAAGCAATCATGTCCGAAGTTATGCAGGAGTTACACAGTCACTCGCATATCTTCCATTTTTTGCCAAGTATTTGATTGACAGTGATGATGTGTGGAGTTCAAAGGAAGTAAGTTTATCTTCTTAATTTTTTCTTTCACCTTTAATAAAACATCAGTGTATAGTGCCATGAGTCACATAGTGTCTTCATTTTGTAAAATTATACAAGACAGGAGCTACAGAGAAATGTAAAACTCATTCAGACATTGAGCACCTGCCACAAAACTTTAACCCAAAACAAAACTATTGTTGATTCCAGGGTGGCAACAGTGTTCTCTGGTCAGTGCAAGCATTTTTAAGCTTAGCTAATATTAGTAATGTATTTATCATTTCCTTTGTTTACAGAGAGCAGAGGTGCGTGAAAAGGTACTTGGTGAGTTGAAGGAAGCTGGATTGACAGGAATTGAAGAGTGTGTGGTGATGTACACTAAACAATGAACATGATTCAAAGTGAGGGCCTTGTTACCTTTGTGATAAACTTAGTTTTTTGATGTACACATACTTACATGTTCATGTATTTTCTTTGGAAATTACTGTATCTTAAGTGTTGATAGTACCATTGTCATCATATATGATTTTGACCTAGTTATCATCATCATCATATGTAACTACTGTACATATTATCAATGTTATTCAGTAAGAGTATGTAACACGTTATCATCATCATTCTGGCTAGCTGTATGTATGAGCGAATTTATCATTTTCCTGTATGATTGTGTTAACATCATGACGTAAGGTTGTATGACTCGCCATACACCAACATTATTGCATGAATGCATACATTTTTAGTTTGTATGAATGTGACTTAAAATACTATAATTCTTGTCGCCATGAGGGTTTGTTTCAACCCATAACTATGGTGTTCCATAATAACACAAAAGAAAATTATCTCTTATGTAGTGTCAGATTATTTCTAAAGAGTAAATGGTGGACATCAGTATTGAGTATTCTTCAGCAGATGTGTTCAGCATCACAGGTGAAACATTAATCTCGGAGTACGTGGAGTACAGGGACCAAAACCATTAGTGAAGAAACTTAATGCATCAACTTGTCATGCAGGTAAAGATATTTCTTATGAAGAAAATAAAGTTATGTTTAGTATTTGATGATATTGTACCATATTGCTTTCTTAATCTTTGATAAATGTAAATTTTCTGAGACCACATCTAATTTATTTTATTTTTGTACTTGCATTAAGACTGTGATGAAGACATTTGTTTTATGTCGACAAATTGTGTAAGCACAATTAATCATCTACCTTTAATTCAGTTTTTATTAAACTTGCTTCAAATGCTCTAAGTTATGAGTACTGTACAGTATATTACAAGATCTTTCATGACATTCCTCGAATAAACATAACATTAAAAATATTAAGCACACTGAGGCATAAAAACTATTTTTAGTAGTTATATTTACTGTACATGCATAAAAATACTTCATGCTTTCAAGAGAAGATATACTGTACAGTATTTGCAAACAAAGGCAAATTAAGTACCTGTATATTAACCCTCTCGCGCACCATGACATGAATCGTGTCATGTTATCGGGTAGCACTAACAGCATCGGTGACACGAATCGTGTCATAAAACTTTAAAAAATTCACCCCAAAAAGTTTTCAAGATAATTGCGTCAAATTTTCGTGCGCCATACTGTAGATGACTGTATGATCTCACGAGGCAAGCTTCCAGAAAGTGCCACTGCATGGGTGGAGGTAAGCGCGGATCAATTGTTTACCAGTCTTTTCCCGTCAACCAAGTTGGTAGGTTACGTCTCTATTCCTTTAACTCCTTTCAAACCCTTCCCACCACACCCACTGTACACATTTGGAATACTGTGATGTTTTATATTAAAATATTTTTTCAATTGCCTGTAATATTTTTTTGTTATATTCACAGAGAAAATATTTGAAACTCAAATTCATTCAAACAATAACGGAACATGCCTCATAAGGTTCATTATCATGGAAAATATTTGGGAGGCGAGGAAACTGCTTCCTATCACAAAGGATTACCTAGCAGTTATAGTGAAAGTGATGGGAGCAAGGAAACAAAATTAGGAAAACAGCAAGCAGCTTGTCCCTACCACTGCCTCCACCATATATATTGTAGATCTTATATCTGGCCTATATAGTATGTTTATATACTGTACAGTATAAGGTACAGTATACTTATAAATTAATTTTTAAATTTATGTATGTAATTGAATATCGTAATTCATACAGTAGGATGATATACTGTACTGTACATAGCAAACAAAAAATGTAGAGGGAGAGAGTGGCTAGGAGCACGACCCTTGGAAAACTGCCCGCTTACCAACTTCAAAAATTTATATGTTAACCATAAGTGCTACAGGATATTTAAGACCAACCTTTTTCTTCCTAACATTACAATGCACTAAAAGTTCATACACTAAACCTCATAGGTACAACAAAAATCTAAAAAGATATAAAGGTTTTGGTGATTTTTTATTAAGTTTTTAGTTTCTCACAATTTTCTCTGAAATTATTAGTCTTACTAAAATTTGAAAGCCACTATTGGAAACCTCATAAAATTCTGCTTCTATAATTATGATACAGTTGTTATGTTTGTAAGAAAATATTAAGAGATATAGTGTTGGGGGTAAAAGGTCTTTATTTGGAGTGGAAAATACACTGTAGTTGTTGTTTTTCTTTGGTCTTATTTATTTTGTGGCTTATGTTAAATCCAAAACAATAACAAAGCCATCTATGTATAAATTATCCCTCCCTCCCCCCACACATGCAAAAAAAAAAAACTTGTGGGATAAATTGGTTACAGAATGAAGATGCCCAAACAGCATGTGTGGTGGTGACAGGTCCTATTATGATTTTTGTCGTGGTCACAGAGACTTAAACTTACTGCGTCCGTTAGAGGGTTAAAATTAATATGTGTACTGTACATATATATCAATGCTGTTAAGTTTAAGTTGAAGTAAAATGACAACATATTCTTCTCATTTGTTTCCATTTTACCTGTTTCACTTATCTTGCTCTAATACACACATTATGTCTCAATTCCTCTTCTCTTTACTCCATACATTTGTCAGATTTTCCCTCCTTTCTCTCTTATCTCCATATAGCTGTCAGGTTTCCCTTCAACAACTCTCAGCTATATTCATTTTTCTTATCATAAAACAAGTGATTGCCTCACTTGGTATTTGAAGAATTTACCAATGTTTGGGTGACAATAATTATGAACTTTGTGAAAGTAATATTTAGGGTATAATAATATACCTTTGTTAGGCATTATGAATGGGTTTTACTAAAATATTCTTTAAAACTATTACACACAAAACATTTTTTATGCAGTACATTGTATAGTAAAGTATTCATAGACAAATGACCACATGTACAGTAGCTAAAATAACTACCTGTGCATACTTTGTGGGAAACAATATGAGAACATGGACGATAAATTTTGGTGTATGAGGGCTGTCACTAGTCACACATAAAATTTTGGAACATATCAACCCCACCTGCACAGATAGTTGTTTTAGCTACTGTACATGATAAAGGAAACTTAACTACTCTATCTGTTAATCACCCTAAAGTAGAGTTGAGGTATCTAATAAACAAAGACATCAACTTGCTAGTATCTTCTACAGGGTGCATCTTTGTGTAGGAGATAAATTGCCTCCGAGCACGTGTTACTTCTGCCAAGGTGACCTGCAGAAGGAGGGTTATATGAGTAATTTTCAGTACAACCAGTGAAAGTAAAAATAATTTAGCAATGTAATATAATGCAGGAAGATTTTTATTATTACACCTGCAAATGGACAGAAAAGACAGACTACTAGCTATTGTTCGTGTGAGAATAAAATGGGTAGAAAATACCAGATTTCAGTACAACCTTTTCAGTTTGCTTCATTCTCTTTCTTTAACTTATATTTTTTTTTTATCCGTTCAGATTTTTTTTTATTCAGTCAATGTTACATTAGATATACTAAGGATGTATAAAGGAATCTTTGAGCTAACTTTACTAAATGGAAGTGAAGCAGAACCTTGGTGGAGAAAAATTTTTCATCTAGAAATTACATACTTGACAACAAATCGTGGGGTGAAGAGCATGCTTAGAATAAAAAAAATATACAAATCGGATTTAGAAGTGGTAATGAGAGTTGACCAGTTTATGAAGTTAATGTGGTCATACTGGATACAGTGGTAGTATGGTTATAATACTGGATTGAATGTCCATTGATCCTGGATTCAAATACACATTCAACAGGCAAAATGTTGGCGAAATCTGGCGAGTCAATACTAAGTACCGTATTAATTACCGTAAGTTGCAGGGTACAAGTCCACATTTTAAGCTTGAAAAAATCTCTCCAAAACCAGAGGTCGACTTATACACCGAGTATAAATTGTGAAGCTTTACCACAGAGTGGTAAACAAATGGAACAGCCTGCCTAACACTCGCTGTGCATCACTTAGCGTAACTCCCGTGGCCTGCCGCTAATATTACCTACTGAAATTCATGTTTGGTAAACTTATTTAACAGAGATTATAATAAAATAGTAAATTCCAGTATAATTAAACGAACACCACACCACACGCCATTTCTAACAGCCGATGCGCAGTAAACAATCGCTCAGAATGCCACTAAACCCAGGCGGCCAGCCAGACAATTACCCAATACAGTACTATGATATGGGTGCTATCTGTGTGTTGAAGGCTCCACTGGCAGTTTGTTTATACCAAATGATGCAAATGTTGGATCGTAAGCCAGGTGTACCATAATGTTCTACTATCATACCGTATATAGCAGTACCATAAAAGGTGCTATACTGGCATGAAGTGTAAACAATATTTTATTGGAGGTGCTGATTTTGTCTTGGCGTTTACCAGAGTTCTTACGAAGATAACTTGCTGAAGATTTTTAGCGGTTGCTTGCTGTCCTACATAGATCCTGTTGCCCACTTCCCTTTTTGTATGAACTATATAATATATATATCAAATATTGAAAGGTATTACGGTAAGTGTCTTGATGAAAGTGGCGTGGCCTTATTAATCACTTTCGCCATAGGCTATATCCACATTTCAGTTCTAGCCTAGCCTATGTTTGAGCCTTTGGGGGGTCGACTTATACGGCGAGTATAGGCCTAAACTTGAATTTTGAACTAAAAATCTTGAGTTCGATTTACTGTATACGCCGCAACTTACGGTATAAGTGAGATAGCCTCATACACAAGTAATGTATAATTATATGATATTTCTAGGAAGCATTGAAGTATTGTACAAGATTGATAGAAAAGGCTGGTTTCAAGTGGTTTCTGGGATGTTCCAGCAGTAAGTATGAATGGATGATGGCAAACAGTAAAGAGAAAGTCTGTATTTGGCACACCTTACAATATAATGTGAAGACTAGGGGGGGGATAAACAATTACCAATAATACTACTGACCTTCCTCCCCAAAGATATTGATTCTTCAACCCCAGGAACCTTAATACTATCTCCAGGTACTAAAGTTCTCTGGGCTGACATAATACAGCTTGTTACATCCTGCAAGACAAGGAGAGATTCATCATAATACTTCAAATACCATTTCACCTCAAAGTCTTCATAAACTATTTTGTAGAAAAGAACACAACTAATAGTTCACATATATTCAAAGAAAAACATTACATTTATATGCTTTAAATTCTCAGACTAACTTTGTACTTTAAAAGCCTCTCACTTGGGTTAAAAGAGCCCCAACTAAGCATACATACCAAATTTACATGTAGTATTGGGGTATTAATGGTGATGTAATTTGCAATGAACTTGTTTTATTGTTGCAGAGAATTTGTAGTATTACTGCTACAGAACTAGTATAGTATTAGTAAATGTGATGTAAATACTATTGTACAACTTATGTTAATATATCTACTTCCACATAAATTCTTCACATCATACATTACCTGTGTGGTACGATCTAGTTCAAAGAGAAAATTTGTGGAAGACAGTGGCTGCGTCTGCGTAGACTGATTAGGTGGAGGAGGCTTGCATAAATATAAAGCATCGTGCATGGGGTCACATGGAGGAGCATCTTCTGGTAAGACTGTGAACATTGGAGAGTCCCATCTGTTGGGATAATTTAATTGTCAAAAAGTGTTTGCCACTAAAAGTGAACAAATACAGTACTTTATCACAGCAGTGTCTAAGAGGGGTCATGACTCTGGGAAGTAATGATGGGGAATATTGAAAATAAAAATTTATCTTAGCCCTCATTATGATATACCTACCTACCAAGTTTAGTTAGAATCCATTGCTCTTTTTCAATTTACTATACTGCTTTCATTATCTTACGGTAATTATACACACAGAGTCATGCCACTCAAATCAAGCAACTCTTGATGAACAGCACTACTGTCAAGGATGTGGAGGAACGAGGCGGGTCACTGGATCACTAGTTTTGAGACAAAGATTACATGTGAGTTGAGTTGCCAAGTACGTAATTAAATATCCTATACAAAGTACTTTTTTTCCCGCCTGGACATTCAAATTATGCCACGAAAATTAAAGATGTAGAGAAACATCACCCGAGGTCGCTATGGTGGACATAGAGGAACATCACCCAAGGTTTAAGGGCTAAAGGTAAGTCATTAATTTTTTAGTCATTTGATATTTTTGGGAAAAGCTTTCATAGACACATACATCAATATGCATACAGACATGCAGATAGAGACCAAACCAGTTGACAGTACTTTTGCTTTTAACACTACTAAACATCAGCCTCTTATACAAATTAATATTTTGTTTAACAGTAATTCCTTACAATTTGTATTTTCTTTGTTAAATCTGCCATGCTCAATTAAACAGTCTAATCATATTAAATACAACTAGTTTCGAATTAATCACCATAAACTTCATTTACTCTGGCAACTTAAGTTTATTATTCTCTAAAGAAGATGTGAATGTTTATCAAATACAGACACAGGCATAAAATATATACAAAACTCACCTATTACTGCTATTAGGTGTCTCATATCTCATCACAAGTCCGTCAAATACCTCTCGGGTATATCGTTCATTTTCTGGTCTCATCTGGTTCCAAGTCCATGCTTGCTCAATGGGGGCTACACACTGGACTAAGCACTGAGTAGTTTTAATCTGCTTTGATGCACAATAAAGTTCATACCTGGAAAAAAAACATTAAAATGCTGAAGTGTGAAATCATACTTAATAGCCTAGGGGAGAGACAAGTGACCACCTAAATCATCTACCAGAGTTCCCTGAGTGTGCCTTTAATAAGAGTCTCAGCAGAAGTGGCATAAACAGCTGAACCAGGATTTATGATGCAAACTCCAAACCCAGCATGATGGTTATTGTGAAATACGACTTGCCATGACATACGTACAGTATATAAATAAAAACTCTGCACTACTATGTTTGACTGACTCCTCAGTCACATATTTCGGTTAGTTTTATCAATTTTAAGATTCCTTCTGCCATTGTATTAAGGGAAAGAAAAAGGCGAGTTATGAGGTCATTTATCTCTTCTCCCCAGGCCACAAATAAGGCTTTGATCATGAAAACCCACTTTGAGTGACCAGAGCATAGAGGGTTCTCCAAATATATCCTCAGACCATAAGTCACAGAAGATAATCCCAAAATCACTTATGCCCCTGACAAACATCATACAAATTACAGTATTCAATTAGTATCGAGTGACAATGTTTAAGTGTACAGTATGTTGACATCTGCTGATTTGATTGTCTCAATACATATTTTTGGTTGTAAACACCTATTTTACTCTCTTCTGCAATATCTTTGCTTTTAATTAAGATAAAACAATTTGTAAAGAAAGAGGAATCAGTTTACTCAGAGCCCATGAACATACAGCACTCTGATATGTGAGAATAATTGTGTGAATTAATGACTTTTGCAACTCTAAGAGCACTACAGTATGTGTATAGTAAAAATATTGTACCTGAAACCTTTGATGTAATTTCCTGCATCCAGAATCACAATGTCGTCCTTATTCAATAACCTTATAGCATCTCCTTTCAGAGTTCCTCGGATCTCCTTCTCTTGCTTTGAATCACTAAAAATTTCATTCTTCTGCAAAGAAATTCAAATTCATGATGGATTTTATCTTTGTATGTGTACAGGGGCGATTCTGTGAGTTTTTCTGCTTGCTAAGTGAGGTATGTTTAGAGAGAACATGTGAGTAATTTTTTAACTATAGGAGTAATATTACAATCACTCAATCTCAATGATTCAGCTCAAGTGGCTGTAGTTGAGCTGAGCTGTGCAGTATAAGGTAAGTCAGTACAGTCCATCAGTTATATCATTACAAAATGTAGGCCTAAAGCATTCTTATGACATATTATATGTCATAAGAATATATAAATAATATGTCATGAGAATGCTTTAGGCCTTCATTTTGTAATGATATAACTGATGGACTGTACTGATTTACCTTATTCTGTTCAGCAAATCAGCCCAGCTCAACTACAGCCACTTGATTGACTTGAACTGAATGATTGACTGATTGTAATATTACTCCATACTCCTATAGTTAAAATATGATCTATATTAATGAAATAAGGTACAAGAAGTGCATTAAAATAAGAAACCGAGTGTCAGTTGCATCTCACCAAGTCACCAGTGATAGGGTAACCTACACACATATTCCGCAATTGTTTATCTGTGATCAGGGATCACTGATCAGTAAGTACTGTATTTGCAAATGACTAAAGTTATCATAATTTATAATTCATTGTAATAATGACACAAATAATATTTAACTAGAGAAGCACGCTAACACGCTTCTATATTATGCTACGACGGATAGGTCGCAGCCTCGCAGGTTACGGACTTATGGTACCATTTCTACGATTATTTTGAATAATTTATCATTAATATGTAGGTTATGTCTTTTTACAGATAACAGTTGGATTACCACAAGCAAATATGGATAAATTTGTTATTAAAAATAAATACTGTGCAACAGAAAACAAGGAATCTGAGGGCCCTCCTGCAAAGAAGTCAAAGGGGGATTCTGATGCTACAACTACTGCAAGTGTACATTCATCGCAGAAACAGAAAAATAAGGAGGAAGGCACTGCACCAACTGACATCTCAGAATCTGCTGCTAGCAACCATGTTCAGCCCCATCTAAAGGAGTATCCCAAGCATTGTGAAGGAAAGTCCCATGCTCGGTCATTCGTGGGTGCTTGGTTTGACCAATATGAGTGGGCTGAATATTCTCAAGAACGTGATTTGCCATTGGGTATAATGTAACAGTTGCATGAGGCGCCCATGTCTGAAAACGTAAACGTCTCCATAATCTCCATTATGTGTGACGCGTGAGATCATTCATTTTTTCGCTGATGTATGTACATACATTGTAAAGACACTGCTATATTTTTCAGTGTTTGTTATATGGTACACCCGCCCTTTATGTGACTATGTGAGCAATAATACAGTTTTAGAGATATGTTCAAGTGTGTCAATACTCCAATGAGTCATGATTAGTGGAATAAGAGCGTTGCCATTATACCGCCGTATGCTGATTAATTTAGGATGGCGTCATGAGAGACGTCACTTCACATTTGTCAATCAAATTGGTGTAATAATGCCAAAAACTGCATCTTGCAAGTTGTACACAGGTTTGGTTTTGCCCCCCCAACATTTACCTTGGCCCCAAAGTGGCCCCCCCCCCCCCACTTTCCGAAGGCTAGAAACGCCATTGTATGTGTACCCCAGACTGTCCTTATACAAGAAACATGAAATCATCTACTATTGTCTTTCAGACAACCCATTCTGTTAGTGAATCACAACTTATCTACTGTCATGGATCCTCAACACGATAAACAGTGTCAAACTCGCATATGAAATGTTTACTCAAAACCTTGAAAATTTCCATTAAATCCTTTTGTAAAAAATTAGTAGAATATCTATTCTCGGTGATTGTGTGAGTAGAATGAACATGTCAAAAAGTTAGACTGCAGTGTGAAGTGATGCGCAATGTTTCTACAAAATCGGGTGCAATTACCCACTTTGAAATTCTTAACACAGAACATTTAGTGGGCCCAATAATGCAATACTCACCCCCACAAGCAGTTCATTTTCACTCACTACTGTCACCTTCTTGCTTTTCTCACTCTCAAAGTAGTTCTTTATCTCCAAGGTTCGTCTTGTCTTCCCACTGGAGGGAAATCCAGATATGATAACCAAAGGCATATCCCACAGGCCACCCAGCACCAGCAGGAGCAGGTGGTGTTTATTTACCTTACACAGGCCTCAGGGCGCTTGACAAGATCAGGAATAATAACATTAAACATAATCTCCATATATTGCAGCCTTTGATCGTTGTTTTGAAAAATAAGGAATAAATTTGATAATATCTATTGTTTTTAGTCATAATGTATAATTCTATTTCAATAAATTTTTACTTAAAATAAATTAATGGATATAAAATTAGAGAAATACAGATAAGATACAATTCTCGGATTTCCTCTCCGTTTATCTTAGGCATAAAGAGAACTTTGACCAAGGAAGAGAAGTCATGTACAGTATATTAAAATTGCTGGCAAGACTTATAATGTAAGTAGGAAATCATATTGTATATTGCTTTTAAACAATAAGATCAAACTGAAGTATTGGGTAATACTGTCTAGTCCTATGTTAGTATATGCGCTTTTAAGTAAAACGCTAACTTTTTTATCATATTCGCCACTTATCAGCTTACTAGAACAACTCTTAGCATACTACAAACATTACTATTGATTCATTAAACAGTATCATAAGCTAGTTTACCTCTCAGCCGTGCACACTTTTGTTACTTTGTTATTTTGTTGTCTTTATATGATGTTAGACTAGTGAGGTATTAAAGCCAACCTCTCCGGATTCATTACACGAACCATGAAAGACTTTGTTTACCTGACAGAAATGGCGACAGGAGGAAGGGGTGCGTTGTCTCTTCTTCAAAGTTACGGCTCAGATAGCGATGGAGACTCTGGTTACACTAGTGAAGACGAGAAAAAGAGAAAACACGTATTTAGCAGCCCTCTTGAACGAAAGAGGAAGAGGCGAAGAGCAGATGACGAGGAGGAAATGGCGGTGGACACTCCTTCCTCGTCGTCACGTCCTGGATACCACCAGGATTCTGTAGTTTCTTCGGAGACTGTGATGGGGGACGGGCACCAACGGCCAAGTGACCACACCATGGATACTACCTCACACCAGTTAAATAGTAATCGGTAAGTTAGGAGAGAGAAAAGGCTGTGGGTTTAACCACATCTGTTATAAGAGAGTATGGGAGTCACTCAAAACCTTATTATGTTTAACAAAGTAAAGGTCGTGGCTGGATAAAGGATTTTTCTTACATATTCTCAACTAATAAACTCGGAATTATCTTATATCTTTGGCCATGGACTGTGGGCGTGAAGGAATACAACCATCAGTAAGGACAGTAGAGATAGTTTCATATATAGCTTTGATTTGATTGGAAATAGATTATGTGTACATTAAAATATGGTATAGGTGGAGGAGAACACCAGCACCAAAAGAACTTTTGGAATTACACAAAATTTTCAGGAGATGTGGTTTGGTTGATTCTGAGTAATAAAATGGAGGCAACAACTTGGTTATATTTTTGTTTATTTTTAGCATATTCTTCAGTCATAAATACTTGTTAGTGGGCAGGGCGTGAAAGAAGAGGGAAATAACAGGGTAAAATCACTACAGACACTGATCATATGGCTATGGCAGTAATTTCACGTCTCTACATCCTTTGTATGCGAAGAAATAAAACATTTACTGTAATTATGTTGCTGTCAGATCTCCCGTGGTGACCATGTTTTGGTTTAGTCGTTTATTATGCGGGAGCGTCCACTGTCCAGTTCAGGTCACCGTACTACAGAATAAATATAGAATCCATAGAAAATATTCTGAGGAGAATGACAGGACTAATCCCGGGCATTAGAAACCCAGAGTACAGAGACAAATTAAAGCATCTTAATCTGCACTACCTCGAGAGACGTGGAGTGAGGGGCGATATGATTGAGGTGTATAAATGGAAATCAGGGCTAAACAGGTGATATAATAAAGGTTCTCAAACTATCCAACCAGGAGCAAACTCGTAGCAATGGTTTTAAATTAGAAAAATTTTGATTTAGGCATGAGATAGGTAAACATTGGTTTGGAAATAGAGCAGTGGATGAATGGAACAAGTTACCAAACATCATCATTAACTTGAATATGCTGGGGAGCTTCAAACATAGGTTGGATGGATATATGAGCGATAGGGGTTGGGTGTAAACGGGAGTGCCCAGTATGGGCCAATAGGCCCGCTGCAGTTTCTTCTATTCATAAGTTCTTTTGTCAAGAAACCAATGATGATCTCATCGGGCACATTTATTATGATTCATAATGGAATGAAATTGTTCATTTTTATAGAGATATTTGGATGAGAGTAAGTAAGAAAATCAAAATGACAATGCACAGGTTAGGAAGTTAGGTAGGCAAGGTCAAGTTCTATTACGTTCTGTGCATTCACACTTCCATTTTCAGTATTGTCTGAGAACAGCACTACCACCAGGAGTTGTTTGATTTCATTCATATTTTCCCACAGATGTTCTTATCATTATGCAGCAGTAAGTATTTTAAAAGCGGCCTCATTTACTAGAACCTAATACTGTAGAACCTGACCTAAACAACCAAAGAAACCGACCTAACCTGACACAGTGTGGTCAGGGTTAACCTGCTTCTGGTCACAAGCGCTGATATGTTAATGTTGTTGAGGTCATGGGTCAGCCTGTCAGGTTATAAACAGGACAATACTGTATGATAAGCCAGTCCCAGTAAATCACATCAATTTGGGGAGACATCATACAGTGAACTTGTGAATGTACTTGGAAACAATCAAGTTAATTCTATAAACAGCATTATGCTTTTTAAATGTGGGGTCCAAAAATCCCCACACCAAACTTATATGAACATAAGTGTAAAAGGGTAAAAAAATGATCAATGTTTTCATATACTGTACTTGGCTATTTGGTAATTTTTTTTTAATTTTCAGTTGGAAGCCTAGCTAAGACCTTTAAATGTAACTTCCTGGTTTTTTTTTCTCTGGGGTCTGTGGAAGCCCAATTATCTTAGGTTTAGACACATTTATACCATTACCTATGTAGGGTTAAAATTATGATTTTAGTTATGATTACTGTATGTCCTTTTGGGTTGATGAATACTGTATCCCTGATAATGCAAAGTGAAGATGAGTGTGTACAGTGTATATACAGCTGTACTGTACTGTACAGGTATTAGTAGTATAAATTCAAAGGCTTCCAAAAAGCATTCTCTGATTATATTTTTTTATCATAAAAGTAAACACTTAAACATTGAAAATCTTATAGATTTAAGTGCAGATGAAAATTTAAAAATTAAAGCAATCAATATATGAAAAATGTAAATTTCCATTTGAATGACAGTTCTCTTTTTTGTTGAATATTACAGTATTATAACCAACTGGTGTTAACATGTACAGTACGTATTTTGCTCACTCCAGATGACAAAAATTGCCCTGCTCTTAAGTACGTATTTCAAAAGCTTTTTTGACACATTTCATCTTTGTATAAGTAATAGGGATAAGGATGCCTGTCAATGATATCAATTCAGTAATTCCAAGATTGATTTACCTGTCAAAAAAATCTGAAATTGTAATACTGTAGCTAACTTTGTTAATTACAATGAAATATTTAACCTTTTTCATAGTTGTTCTGTACAGTACTGTAATTTCCATCATTCTTATTTATAATTTCGGTGATCTTTATTGATGAAGACCATTACTCTTTTTCCTCAGAAGTATACCTCTACCCAGTGAACTATTATTGACTAGAGAAATTCATGTGGATGACTCGAGGGAACATCAGGGAAGAGTCAGATCCTTTCCTCATGAACGGGGTAACTGGGCATCAATTTTATACGTCCCGTGTAAGTTTGTGTTATTGTTTATTTTGTGTTTGTATGGCTGCCTACATTGTCAGCCATATCACTGCCAATAATCCATCAATGAATCAATGAATAAACTGGATTAACAATGATTGTCCCTTGTAGCTATACTTTAGTACTGTACTGTACAATGCTCACCAAAGTATGAGTTTGGATCTATGAAATCCTATAGACATTAGCACTGTATCTGAATACCTTCTTACCTAGAGATGGCCAGATAGTAAAATGGTCCAAATATTAGAATGATCTCCAGGTAGAGTACATTTGCATACATTTGTTTCAGAGTTTCCTCTTGTACCATTCCTACATACCTCTCTTTAATTTTTCACACCTTTAACGTGTTTACTTATTTTCAAAATAGACATTAAAGAGAGTATTGTATCTGTTTGTTTTAAAATTTTACTCAAAGTTGACTTTCCAATATTAAACTCAAAAATAATTTGCTCTGGGCAGACCAAGCTCCATCCATCTTATGATGTTTACTTTTTTCATTACCCTATAGTGGGCATGTTGAGATATTTGTTGAAGCTGTGCTAGTGTATTTGTCTGTCATTGTGTGATGAATGATCCAGTTTACAAAGGTATAATAAAAATAAGATTGGAGGCAACTTACAAAAAACCTCCCCAGCTTATGGATTTACGGATACTTCCCATAAGTCCCATACTTAATTTTTTATAATTATTTTGATCTCTGGTGTACTTATCTTTGTTTATGCTTCTTTTGCTATTATACAGGTATAGATTTTTTAATTGGTAAAAAAGTAATGTGTTGTGTAGGTATAGTAAATTGTGTGTACAGTACTGTGTGTGCTCTGTGATTAACTGGCGAGCCTCCTTGGGGGCAGATACCCAAAACACCTCGTAAGTTACACTCTTGGTGATCTTGTAACTGACTTGAGGTATTCAAACTTACAAACTGCTAACAATTTTGTTAATCCTCCATACTCCAAACGATTTTGCAATGGTGTGAGGGTATTGCAACTATTGTGAACAATGTAGAGTAAATCTTCCTGTAGGCCTGTCGGCTAATCACAGTTACGCTTTCAAAACTACCGACCAATCACAAGCTAAGGATATCAGCTGTTTTGAGGGCATGAGATTTATGTAGAAAAGTTTAAGAAGCTGAAAAAATATGTAACATTTTTAATAAAAAAGTTTATTATATGCTATTTAGCAATTCATCTTGCCTGCCAAAATGTAAACAAATGCAGGTCATTTTTTTAACTATTTATTTTTTATCTTTTAAGGATATTTTTCATTGTAATACTACAGTAAACTCTCGTGTAACTGACCTATATGAGGGGATGGGTGGGTTGGAAAAGCCTATAAGTTTAATAATCTAGGTACATGTACAGTGACCCCTCCGTTAACGAACTCAATCCGTTCCAGAAGGTCGTTAGTTAACCGAAAAGTTCGTTAACCGAAACCATTGTTTCAATGGGTTTTTGGGTAATTGGTTCCAGCTCACCGAAAATTTCCTAAATTCAACATAAATGGTAGAAAAGTTCACTTACTTTGAGGTGTGTATGTAGAAGGCTCCTGGATGATGATGATGATGATGATGGGATTTAGAATGGGGGTTGAGGAGAAGGAAGAAGAGAAGGCATTGGGGTGGAAGAGAAGTCACCCCATGGCGCCATTTCACCCATAAAATTTTAGCTCTGGTGTAATTCAAGATTATTTTCTTTAAATCAACACTGCACTGCATTATATATTGTCAATATGTAAAATATATTTCAAAATGACCAATAATTTGCTTGGAAACAGAAAAAAAGCGTTTAGTTGAAGAGAGTCTCAAGCAAGATGTTACCTCCAGTGAAAACAGAGAGAGACTAACTCCTGTTTGCTGTGTTAAGAGGCTGGATGCCGCGCATTAAACTAGTCACTTTACCTTCAATTATGTTCAATAATTGTTAAAATGACTAAAAAATTGAATATTAAACTTTTAAAATTGTTGAATAGTATAAACTTCTTGATATTTACTAAAATAGTAAGGAATTTAAGCCCTAGAACCGATTAATGTATTGGCGGACTGATACTAAAGCTGGTTGCCCGGTCAGTGCAAGCGAAAACATGTTGAGGTCGGTTCGTAAGAACTTCGTTAACCGAATTTTTTTTCGTTAACCGAATTGAAGATCCTTATGGAAGGCAGTTCGTTAATCGAAATTACGTTAACCGAGGTGTTCGTTAAACGAGGGGTCACTGTATTGTACCAAAAATTTAAAATACTGTATGTATGAAAAAGATAAATGTACGACAATTATAAAAATTAAGTACAAAGGCGTTCAGCTGTGTAAGCGACCAGTGTGGGTGCCATATTTGTTATTGTTCAGTGGTTAGTTGCTGCTTTTCCAACATATACTTAAAATCCAATTATAAATTTATTTGAGCCTGAGAACAATGAGTGCTGAACGTGCATTATGTACCACTACTGGTGGTGGTCACAGAAAGAAGAGAAGTGTTATATTAGAAGTTAAATTAGATGTGGTAAAGAGATTTGAAGGAAAGTGAGCTGTGGACATAGCTAGAGCTGTCAGTTTGCAACTTATAACTGGAGGTAAGAAAATTTTTTGGGTCGGTTATTGCGGAGGTCAGTTATTCGAGGGTCGTTTAAATGAGGGTTTACTGTAATACAGTACTATAAGAAACCGATTTTCTGGAGTATTCTCATATAAAACAGTTTTAATGAGAATTATTATAGCTTGGAATGCATATATTGTTTATGCAATCTGGAAATCTGGGTATATTCCTTACAAGAGCTCCAAAGGTTCTGTAAGTTACGGCCTGCAGATACAATGTGACGTCACAAGATGGCGGATACAGCATTTTGTTTTGAGTATCTCTACAGAGAGGACTTAAAATCTTCTGAGGATCAACTTACAGTCAGCTGGGGAATACTTTTGAGTATCAGGAAAAGAACCCATCCGTAAGTTGGGGAGTGTCTGTACTGTACTATGGTTTGATTGGTGCCAACTACATCTACTAATACAGTACTCTCATTGGTGTCTTGTTTATTGTGGTTACCAGAGTAGCTATACAGACATTTTGAATTTGCTATATGTGAAGCAACATCATTTTAGTTTAAGATTATTCAAAATAAAGACTATGTATACCTGTATTCCATTACGTTTACAGTGCATCTAGGAGTGTATGGGGCAAGTTTTGCTTCCTTCATGGCTTCGTTGGTTGCTATGTGCCAGGAACAAAATGTGATACTTACCCCCTCGTCAGATCTTCACATTTCACTAACACGAACTCTCATACTTCAACTCCATTGGATTCAGCCATTAACAGAAGACCTCAGAGCTAGACTTAGCCAAGTATCCAAGTAAGTGATGTTTTTGTTTGTGATAATGTAATGTATTACTCTTTTATATACTGTATTGGCATCAATAAGTCTCCTTTTAGCTTTCCAGCAAGTTCATTAAGATTTCTTTATAATTTCAGATTTTCCTTGTGGTTACATGGCTTAAGTGTGTATGCCAATGATGAGCGAACCCGAACCTTTTTGGGGCTGCGAGTTTGTCATGGCCGCAATGAATTAGAGGATATAGTCTCTGAAGTGGACAAGTGTCTAGCTGAGTATAGACTGCCACTTTTCTATAAGGTTAGTTGAAAATAATAAGTTTATGCAAGTGTATTAACATGAAGGAGTGTACGGAATTATGTAAGGATAAAATTGCTTGGTACATTTCATTTGCACTGGATTGTGGTAATACTATTAAACCCAGTAGAAAATTTTCATGACCAAAGACCCAGTTATAAAAATTATATTGGTAGTCGAGTTTATGTTAGTGAGGCGAGGTGAAGAGGTGAATGAGAGAGACCAAAGGTGAAATTGGATATGTTTATTGACGGCCACAGTTTTAAGATAGAGAGTTGAAATTTGGTGTGCCACAAACATCTAATATGGGGACCCCCACCTAACATTAGGTGTCGGTGAGTGTAGACATGTAAGGACTATAAGGATAGAATGTCATGGAGGAGACTGCAAGAACTGTAGTCGGTTCACACGAAGCTTGCAACTGAGGCCTAGGGTTATTTAGTAGCAATGCAACTGACTGGTTGGTGGAGAGACATCCCAAGAATCATTACAATTCTTTGGTATTTAATCTATTGTACGGTGTACTGTGTTTGTGTTGATCTCTGATAATTTCCACACTTGAGGAAGTAAAAATTTGCTTGTGAAACGCTCTGGTAATATAAATATCATAAAGAAAACATGAGCACGATGAACAAGTTATGTGACGTAAATGCGTCCTTGCCATGTGACGTCACACAGTGTGATGGAAGCCGTCGCTGAAATTTTTTACTCTTTTTCTTTCACAAGCTAATTTTTGCTTTCCTAAGTGCACAAATTGTCAGAGATCGATACAGAAAAGTTATTATCCCTTAAAATATAATATGAATATGATAGAATAAATGCTGAAGAACTGTAGTGACTCTTTGGGTGCCTGTCCATCAACCAATCAGCTGCCTTGCAACAAACTGACCCTAGGCCTCAGTTGGAAGCTTCGAGTGAACATATTATAGTACCTGTATTACAGTACAGTATCCTGCTGGTTTGTAGCAGGTTGCATATTGGGTTATGATTTTAAATACAATAAACTGTAGTTTATATTTTAGGCATACAGTACTGTACTGCATTTTGAAAATAAAATAAAACAACTCATTTATCTTAAGGCATTTTATGATGATGATAATAATAATAATATTAATTACAGGATGGCTCTTATCATGTGAGTGTCGCTTGGTGCACTGGCGATGTTTCTGAAAATCTTCGTCGCCTCTTGCCGCAGCTGGAAAACATCTGCAGTCAGTACTTCTCAGTGGAAACTGATATGCGTACTTTTGATGTTAACTTGTTGAATTTTAAGACTGGTAACAGAATTCATAACATACACCTTAAACACGAAAATTAGTATCCATTTTATAGAATTTGAGTAGTTTCTATCTTCTCCATTAATAAGTATGTACAAATAATAAATTAACACATTTCTTTATACTGTTCAACTTGTATTCCTATTTTTTCTGGTGCAGTTAGTAATGTGTATTTATTAATCTTGGAGTTTTAAGGACCAAGTATGGATTTTTCTTCCGAGTTGACTGTTGGATGATAGAGTAATGATATAATTATGAACAAATATGAGTGTGCCCTACCAAAGTGTGATTCATCAGGGAATACCTGGATCTACCTTAACTGTGTTAGTGGTATGTGTGACCAAGAAAAGTAATGTGATGGTGATTCTGCATCTTTGTTCCTACTGTAAAAAGGTTAACATTGTGGAGATACATGGTTGCAGGACAAATAGGTTCCAGTCCTCATAGGCCCCCAATTGTACCTGATCATTAGGATTGAGGTCCATTATGACTGGACTCCATTCTTAATGGTTAGATAAGGTGAATGACAAGTAGGACTCGAGTCCATTTAACCAGTCACCTTGGTGCATTAGGATTGTCCAGGTTTCTAAAGTTTCTGTAAGCCTTTAGGAAGTTAAACACTAAAAAAGTGCATCTGACATAAGTTGTAGGTGGAAAGGGAATATTTTGTCAATAGTTTGAAAAGAAAGTATGAAATAAAACTGTAAATTACACTTAAATGGTAATAAGAAAGCAATTCTCATGTGATGTTGTGGCTCACAACCATTGGCTGACCACATATGATCTGATTAGTACTGCAGAATAAGCAAAATATGGGAAAACAAATATAGGAAAGAGTGATACTCTTATTTTTGGATCTGTGATCACTAATTTGTTGCCTCGGCTACATGATAAACCTGTGTAAACAGTCTTGAAATTCCTCAACAGTATTCATGTTGTTGCTCTCAAGTTGGCAGTACCTTTGACCTGTGCTCCTACATTGTCTTAATGTACTGACTGTGTGTTACTCATTAAAATTAAGAGTGTATGGAAGCTGCAGGAAGTAGAATTACTTAAGTATGGCTTTCATTATTAAGTTTTATTTATAAACTTAATTGTTCAAGCAATAGTGGACATCTGTTCATTATTTCTTAACATAGCACAATCATAATGTGCTGTACCATGAATTTGGAATGGAATATCTTTTTTTGGTATTTTTTTTTGGCTTGAGGAGTAGACAATATAGTAATTTTCCCGATGGTCACATCATAAGTCACTGGATACTTGAGGAGCATGGGACTATTTACTCGCCTTCGTTATATTAGGGAGACCACCCAACGGATTTTAAGATTTGCTCTATAAGTTATTACATGAGCATCATTTATCATAAGTGGAATGCTAATAATAATTTGCCTCCAACAGTACAGTAAAACCTCGATTTAACGGACCTCGACTTAACAGATTTCGGATTTAATGGACCAAATTGTCTGGAAGCATTTGCTGTTAGCTCTGACTCAAAATAAAAGTATTGAGTCACTACTATCAATCACTGGCAAATTAATTTCCTCTATCAACCACAAATGGTGAGTAAAGTATTTAATTTAGATTTCATGCTATTTCTAGTGTTTATTTATTGTTTGAGTGTTTTCATATACTAACTATAAAAACATAGTCAGGCAGCACAACACTGGTGGGGATGGAATGGTGGTGGTGACACTTGGCTGGCTGGTGGATGTGAAACAGGTGTAGGAGAGAGGGCAGCAGGAGGCTGAGGCAAGGTTGCTAACTCTGATCTTGCAGCCAGTACCAAATCCATCTTTATCATTACCAAATCGAGTGTTTTATTACTTTTTTAATTCTAGAAATTCACAGTAAAGGAAAAACTGAATGATGGTTTAACAGAATTACTGTATTGTACTGGGAGTTTAGTCATAAAGGACTGCCAAGGCACCCCTTCTAGCCTTCCCCCCCTCCTCCTTTCTCTCTGATGTACAATCATACAGTTCAACAGAGAATTCATCAAGCAAAATGTCTGTGATGTCCAGCTCTTTATAGCACATCATCATTACCAAATTTCCTTGAATTTGATAATGGCAAATATCACATGGAAACCCTCCTTCTCCTATTACTACTGCTGTGAGAGTCCTCTCTAAACAGCAGGCACTGGCCCAGAGATTCAAATGTTGTGGCAGTTGCCACTCAGCTATGAATTATGAATATTTGACTGCTCGTTATATGTTATAAAAATATCACTTCAATTCAACCCTAAAGCCCAGGTGACGTTCCTCTATGTTCACTAAGGTGACCCAGAGTAACATTCCTCAGTGTTCTCAATTTTCACAGTATATTTTGAATCTCCAGACAGGATGAAATACTTTGTCTGGGATGTTTATTTGCTTGGCAACTCAACTCGCATGTAATCTCTGTGAGAGAGAAAACGGTTTATTGTTAAACATTACATGGCTGCGTAAAGTACATAAAGCACATGTTTACATAAATGTTGATAAGCGGTTGCAAGATAAAGTTTAAGTCACAAATGAAGTGAATTAAGTTGGGATGCAATATATGGGATACACGATTTCCTGACTCAGGCGCCGCAGCAAAAGCTTTGAAAGAGATCTGAGCACCGAGTTACCCTGGCACTGACCTCCAGCTTCTGCGGCAGCAGTAGATCGTGATGTTGGGGCTCTTTCAGTAGACCACGTCTGAACTTCAGACACAGGTTCTTGCACCTCTGTCCCAATGTAGTCTGCTTAAAACATGTCAAGGACACTTTGATACCTAGTGTCCCAACCCACTGCTATTTTCATTATCTTACTCTGATTCTTTTCTGTCTCAAGTCTAGTGGTCCAGTTACCCACCAACTATCATGATGGATGCACATCCTTCAACGTCTCATGACCTGCCTTGCCCCTCCACACCTGCGACAATAGTGCTATTCAAGAGTTGCTTGATTTGAGTGGTATTGATATAGTATTTGGTGGTAAAGACAGTGATGTGTAGGAAACAGACCCAGATGATGTTGAATTTGTTGAGGTGGCCAGCAGTGAGGACAGTGATATCGATAATGGCGTTCACTTCCAATCCCCACCCCACCAGCCATCCCCCTCAGCGAGGTCATGGGTGCCATGGATGTAGGGAACCATGTGCAAGTCAGCCACAGCAGTACGCTTGGAGTGACTGCATTAACTTTACTCATGAAATACCAATTTTTAATTGTGGATTAAAAAACAAGAAATATGTCCACGTTGGGGTCCAGCGGGTCATACATTGCCCAGGGCATAAGAGTTAATGGCCTTTCGGCATAAGTCCATTAAATCAAGGTTTTACTGTAATAAGAAATTTTATAATAATTCCTGTGATGTCTACAAGCAAGGACATGTTATACAGTCCTACTGCATTCATTTATAATAATTTTCAGATTACAGTATATCATTTTCATGTTGACTACTGTATTTCTTACTTGATTTTTTGAGTAAATTTATTTAACTAGATTTTCATAGAGGGTTGGAGAATGTCAAAAGAATTTAATCTTTTTGGTCAAATTTCTCCCGTTGTTGGTCGCTTTTCTTTCACCACATTTTCATTGCAATCTTACAGAATCCATAATACTGAACTGAACATAATTTTACAAACTGTTCTATTTCTTCATATTTCTTCTTTCCTCCCTTATATTTTCTCGTTCATAACCAATTTGCAAGGTCACTGTGTGAGTGAAGCATATTTTTATTCGACTTGCAGTTTATAATTTCAATTCTCATTATACAAGCAGAAGTTATTGCTTAATTTGATTGTTAGCTATATCAGCAGAGACAATACTTTGGCAGATGGCCTTGGTGTTAATGTTAGTTTCCTGCCTCAGTGTGGGAAATTTAACTTTAACAAAATACAGTATTGGAAACATTCTGTGTGATGTACTTCTTTGGACATTTGTCGGCAAAGAAGACTTTTTCCAATAACAAAAAATAAATTATCACGGCTCCTCGATCCTTTTTTTAAATTAAAATAGCTTCACAAAATGCAAATCCTGTACTGTACTTTATTTAAATATGTATTATACTGTCATTTATATATCTTATGTGTGAAATTTTGTGAACCAACTTTACTTAAAGCTATACTATCTATCTCCTGTGTGGTTTGCTTTGCTTTTAATGAAAGGAAAACCACTTAAGTTCCTTACATAGTTTAAGTAATAAATATTTTATAGATTTAAAAGTAATCTCAGGACTAGAAAATTTGTGTTCTTTAGCTGAAGGAAACCATTCTTACGTTGGCATGTATACACACGGCTGCATTATAACAATTGCTTTATACTGTAGTCGGTGCAGTGTAAAAGTTGTTTTGATATTTATACACTATTCACGTTCAGCCTTTTTTATTTACTTTGCAAATTTGATTGACATGTAGAAGTCCATGAAAAGTGTTAGTTTGAAATTGTATTACACTATCAGGTTCTTACTGAAAAACATATGATGACAACAATAAATAAATTTTCAAAATCAACAGGAATATTCTTAAGAAAAAATCCTTTTTATAATTTAATGACTTTAGTTTAACTTTCTAAGCCAGAGTAACTTTGATAGACCTAAATTGTCATATATAGTCAAAATCACCGCAACTGTCAATAAAATACAGTAATTCATAAAAAAGGGTAAAAATAGTCATGTTGGATACATATCACAGTTCAATGTGGATTGACATCATTAATTTCGTTATCTTTGGGATTCCATCTTGTTAGCATTAACTCCTGGATGGCCAAATCCTTAAGACACTCAATTCTTCCCAATTTATCTTGAGTTAGATGTCTTGGACGCAGAACAAAGCATATGATGGGTGTCTGTAAGTAGAAAACTATAAATTATATTTGCAACAGGAGTAAAAACAATTGAGCAATATAAGAAAAAATCAGAACTGTTAAAATGTCAAATACTGTACACAGGTATATAATGCTAAGAAAGTTTAGTCGAGGGGGTGTATCAGAGTGTAGGAGGCATGTGAACTTTAACAAATATACTGTATATACAAAGAAATGTCACCAAATGAGAATCAATTTGCTATGCTTCAACATTTTACGGACATTTTCCACACTTCTTGCGTGAGTTAGCCATTGTTACATGATGGCAGCTCTGCATGGTCTGCTGCGGTCTCTCTTGTTAGGTTACTAACTCTAATGTCCTATCTTACAACCTCTCCCCATGTCTTGGCCTACCCCTGGCTTTCCTTCCCTCTACATTTAGGCTCATGCAATTCTTGACCCAATTGGTCTCATCTATTCTCTCAACCTGTCCAAATCATCTCAGCCACTCCCTTAGCTCTGAACAGAGTCACGTTACACATCCATCTTGCCATTCTCATTTCATCTCGCTGAAGTTTACTTATGTCATCATATTTCACTCCCATACAAAAAAACATTTCTCACCAGCTGCTTATATTCTTCCTTTCATTCAGAGGGAAGGTCCTCTTGCTATTAATATTGGCAGCAGTTCTCTAAATCAGCCATTTTTGGTAATTTATAGGACATAAACCTGGAAACATAAAATTTTAAATCACATACAGTAGATCAAACATGGCTTATACAATATTGTGTATCAGTGGCATTCTCTCAATAATTTCAAAGAATCTATGAAAGGAATAATTAATGCATGAAAATCCAAAAATAAACTATTGACTTCTAAAAAAAATTTCCATATGCTAATACACTGTAGTACAGTAATAATATTTCTCCCTCATGCAAGTCTTTTTCCACATGCTGTGAGAAAAATAGAATAAGCATCATCACCATTTTATAGCAATTTTCCACATACCGGTATGCACTGGTTAGCTGTGATTGCCTGATGGCATGGTGTCCCTGTTGTTATCAAATAAATTTGTAGAAAATTTTACTACAGTACTGGATGCCCTTCCTATCACCAGCCTAATTTTACAGAATGGGAATTAGGCATTATATGTAGGACTTCTAAGTGCTATCTTAGCTGGCTAGAAAGGGTCACAACTGCCTGAGATAATAAAAAACAGACTCGTTCTTTACACACCTTCACCCATTCACTCTAACTATTGTGACATCCCCAAAAACCACGCGAAAGAATATTCTCCTAGCATACATGTGCTCTGTTGCTTCCTGGATGTCGAGCCCCCTCGTTATTAATATAATATAATATAGTACTGTACTGTACTTCCTTCACACCATCCTTATAAATCCTTCTTGGTCTTCTGCTCTCCCTTCCACCATCCATCCCTGAATTATACATTCTTTTTACCAAACCTTTACTCACCATTTTCTCAATACTGCATGTCCACACCACCTTAGCAAATGCTGGTCAGCTTTCTGTCCAACACTTATCTCATCCCCACATTTCTAATGATATCCTGTGCAGGTATCCCTTGTTTAATGTTAATTCGCGTAACGTTAATTTAATTTAGCAGATTTTTTTTTTTGCACCCTTTCTCACTTAACATTAGGCTAAAATTCAGTTTAGTGATGGCTTGACTCACTGGGAAAGGGGGGAAAACTGGGGATTATGTACTCAAATTTCACATATTTTCTGTCACTTGTCTAACTTTACATGCCTGAGATTATGTTGTGAATTTGTTTCTAAAGCTGAGTGTAATAAAGCATATTAAAAGTTGTGAAGTGATGGGAGCAATGAGCATCCCATCTCCGCTCGTGTAAGTGACCCCTGTACTGAATCACAGATGGCATCTCACAAGCCGCCTTTCGCATAAACCTCCGCAAACAGTGTTGTTATGCTGTACTAGTTACCTTCTGTAATAAACTCTTGCACAGCCAAAAAAAATTTAATAATGGGACTTACGGGAGACATTCTGTATCCTTGAATTTCTGTAACCCGGGGAGTGTCTATGTGGAAAGTGAACAACCCTTTCTAATGCTTCTGTTCCAATTACATTAAATTAGGATATTAGAATGATAGTACTGTACAAGTAACTGCCTGTTCGCTTCTTAGACCTCAATAACGGGAATATATGTTCATACTTACCCTCCTAAATCTACCATACAAATACAGTGGGGTATGCTATAACGAATGGATTCTACTATGAATATTCCTATAACGAACGGTTTTACCTATAAAATTGAGAATGCTATAACGAACGAAACTCCTACAACGAACATTATTATTTTTTTTTCTCACTAATTTATTGTTTTTTTATTGCAAGTATTAATGATTTTCTTTATTTCAGGGGTTCAGATGCATATTTATGCACTTTTTTACAATTTTTTAAATTTTATATTATATTTTTCAGTGCTAAGTGGTTGTATTTGGGGGCCTGGAAAAGATTAATCCTATAACGAATAAGGTTCTAGAACCAATTAGATTCGTTATAGCATACCCCCACTGTAATATCTTTTTATTATGAAAAAATAGTAAACAATTATGGTCAAGTTAATATCAATAAATGAATTTATGTTTTATTATTACTGTACTGTACTTTAAGGGCTTCGGACGCAGTAAGTACAGTACTGCACAGTTCACTGACCTTCATTTCTTGTAAACAAACTCACGGGTAGACGACATGCAGGGTGATGATCGTACTGATGGTAATTTTGACTTGGGGTGAGGTAGTAATGGTGGTGGGGACTGGTTAGAGGAGGTGCTAGAAATTACAGTAATACAGGTGTACTTACATTTACTTTTGAAGCTTTACTAAAATTTGTATCTGATAGTAAGCTGCATCACCACTTATCCTCATTTAGCGATAATTTCACTTGACATTAGGTTTTCAGGAACACAACCCTATCATTAAACAAGGGATATCTGTACGTACTTCCTGATGCAATTCTCTCCAAACATCTCTTAATGCATCTATTGTATTGTATTATATTATTTTCCTGTTATTCTATCATTCAACTCACTGCCTGCAATTCGATTAGTAGACTCATTCAAACCCATTTATACTAAAAGACTTCACTTCACTTCACTTCACTTCATTTCATTTTATCCCCATTCTAATTGATATCTACTTACCCCTTTTTTAAATTCTGACCAAACTTAGACACAGCTAAGAAACTAACCTTATTAACGTGGTTACTGATGCGCTCAGTCGCTGAAATATTTGTCCATGAAAATTCCCGCCACGAAGAGGTTTGGTCGCTAGTGAGTGTGTCTGACCACATGCATTGTATCATGATGGTGAACTGAGCATGGTAAAATGGTGGACCTACTGGATACAGAACTGCAAAGAGATTTTTGTCACGATCACTAAATTTATTAATGATGCATTTGGGTGTGGAAAAATCAAGAATTTCTTATATCTACATGGTGACAGCTTAATTATTGGTAGAATATATACCTGTTGCAAAGCTTTAATTTTGCAAAAACATAAAATGCTTTTAAGAAAATTTTGTCTTGTGGTTTTATACACAGCAGTAGCCAGGTTTTCCCCAGTTTATGGGTTAATGAGTATATAAATTGTGCAATATTAATGTAGTACAGTATTGTACTGTACTCTTCTTTTAGTATGAATTTCTGAAATTTTCCCTTGAGGTTATTTGAAAAGAAAAAATAAATTTATAGAGGCTATGTCAAGATCATTTTCAAGTACAGTAGTCTATTGGAAGCAAGTCATATTAAAACAGGTTTTAAAACCAGAAGGGAAATACTGTACCAGACGATTATAAATGATAAACCAATTTAAAACATGAGAAAAACAAATTGAAAAGCAAGATAGTGCAATAAAAATTAACTTAAAAGTTATATTTTCAAGCTATACAAATTCAGTATGAGCTCCTTTTGTGACTTTGTAGACATCGAAGTGATATTCTCTTTCCCTCCATACATTTTGTAGCTTAACTTTTTTGAAGATATTCCTTCATATTGTTCTAGGTTGCTGGAATTGGTAAAAAAAAAATAATAATAATTTCTGACATAACCCTGAGAAAAAGATTCAAGGAGCATTAGATTGGGCAAATGAGCTAGCCAAAGAATCCCCTCATCCCACCCAACCCAAAGATCTGGCATTTGCTCATTCAGAAATGTTATAACCTCATTGTCAGTATAAAAAAAAAATCTTTATCATTCTACTTATCTTGCTTTGTTAGTTTTCCACAGTAAATTGTTAAAACTGGGTAGCTCATTTGTCACCACCTAGTATTGCACCAGTGTATCTTTTATTGAAGTTTAGTGTAACCAAGCAGGCAATGCGCCACTACTGCCAGCAGTTTTCAGCTCACTTCAGAACCTACATTTCATATCTATTTTTTTTTAAATCTCAAGAACAAGCCCTACTGAACATCATAACACAAGACCACCATCACTCACTTAAGTCAGCACCAAATTTGAGTCCAGACTTCACCACCCAGCCTTTGCTTCTATAGTGATGATAAACTGTATATTTGAATGGAAACTTTGGGTCATCCATTACAAATGCACTCCACATCTGATCTATTGTCATTTCAAATATATCTTTCAATGGAGAGCACTTGTGATACTGCTTATCTGCAGTTTGTTTCTTATGCGTGACAACTAAGCATCCTAAAGCATAAGAGAGAAACATAGCTTCTTCAGGTAAAAGTTGAAGATATCCTTCATGAGCCAAGGGATCTGAATCATCAAAGGTTCCTTGTTGGTCACTGTTGAGAACTAAAACTGTCTTGGAGCTCCCAGCAATTTCTGGGTCCAAAACATTTATTTCCTCAATACAAGTTTCATCATTATCACTATAACACTGTTCATTGCCAGAGAGGTCATCTCTTTTCCTTTTTAAATCTGCAGATTCTTCATCTGTTTGTGTGCACATGTCTTCCTCAGGGATATTTTTCATTTCAACATCAAAAGTGCTTTTCTTCTGCAAACCTTTAAGCCATGATCCACCTTTTAAACCATCCACCTTCATCAGTTTCCATCGTTTTTTCCTCTGAAATCTATAATCATCATCTGGACCATCAATTTTTCCATGCCCAAAGTATCCCTGAAAATAACAAAACATAACTTAATATTTATGTAACAATGAGCTTTTGTATTACCAAAAAATATAATTTAATTAATGCCTTTCCTGTTTCATGACCAGGTTTACTTTACGAGAACCTCCAACTGAGCCCTTTGTAAGAGTACGTATTCTTTACACTCCATAACCCTTTCGCTGCATTTTCCGCACTTGCCGTTTTATTCTGGATACCACCAGACGATTTTATTCAGCTGAGGGCAACCTCCCGCAGCCAAAGGGTTAAAACCTATCTCGATTAACCTTTTCACTGCGTTTCCCGCACTTCTCATTTTATTCTGGCTAATGCCGAATTATTTTATTCAGCTTAGGTTAACCTCCTGCAGCCAAAGGGTTAAACATATTTTGTTTCAGCCAAAAAACTTCAAACCTTTTTTACTGTTATTTCAATATAATTTAAATTCAGTATTGTATAAGCTGTATATTGCTGACCTTACTATGTGAAATTTAAAGCCCCCCCCCCCCTCCCTCGAAGCAATATAATGAATTTTTGTGATATACAGTACATCAATTTCACAGGAAATTAATATTTCAATATTTTTTTCAGGTACAGTACCGGTAATCATTCAAAATTAGGACCCATATAATGGAAGAATACAGCTGCATTCAACTGTTTTCACCATGAATATCCCTTTAATACTTTATTGCAATCTTGGAAAACATATTACTCTATACTGTACTGTATAAAAGTAATTTTAGACTCATGATTAAAAAAAAAACCACCGGATATGTGTATGAAAGACAAGTCTCCATTAAGGATTATCTAAAAATGTGTCACGGTAGTACAGCACTGTGTGTTCACTGCAGTACTGTACAGTATAGCAAGGCAAGCATGGAAAATGGTGATGGTAATTTTAAGTGCAGTATAAAGATACTACAGTACAGTACAGTGGTCCCTCGGTTAACGAGCACAATCCGTTCTAGAAGGTTGCTCGTTACCCGAAAACTCGTTAACCGAAACCATTGTTTCAATGGGTTTTTGGGTAATTGGTTCCAGCTCACCGAAAATTGCCTAAATTCAACAAAAAAGGTATAAAAGTACACTTACTTTGAGGTGTGTATGTAGAAGGCTCCTGGATGATGATTTGAATTAGAATGGGGGTGGAGGAGAAGGGAGAAGAGAAGGCATTGGGGTGGAAGAGAAGTCGCCTCATGGTGCCATTTCACCCATAAAATTTTAGTTCTCTTGGTGTAATTCAAGATTACTTTCTTTAAATCAACAGTGCACTGCATTATATATTGTCAATATGTAAAATAAATTTCAAAATGACCAATAATTTGCTTGGAAACAGAAAAAAATCGTTTAGTTGAAGAGAGTCTCAAGCAAGATGTTACCTCCACTGAAAAGACACAAAGACTGACGCCTGTATGCTGTGTTGGCAGGCTGGATGGCGTGCCACAAACTAGTGACCCTACCTTCAATTATGTTCAATAATTGTTAAAATGACTAAAAAATTTAATATTAAACTTTTAAAATTATTGAATAGTATAAACTTCTTGATATTTACTAAAATAGTAAGGAATTTAAGCCCTAGAACCGATTACTGTATTGGCGGACTAATACTACAGCTGGTGGACCGCCAAATGCAAGCTAAAACATGTGGAGGTCGGCTCTAAAGAAACTCGTTAATCGAGGGATTGCTCGTTAACCGAAGTTAAGAATCTTATGGAAGGTAACTCGTTAACCGAAATCTCGTTAACCGAGGCGCTCGTTAACCGAGGGACCACTGTATAGGTAGATAGAAAAAAATGTCCAGTTGCTATTTAACATAAAGACCGAAATTTAACAGTCTAAAATTTACGTACTGTATACTATAACAATATGGAACAACAGACATTGTGCCTCATACAATATCACTCAAGAATAATTTACCCAGTACTAGCTAGTAAAAGAGTTGCCACAGCTTCAACTTACATTGTGCCAGAGGGAGGCAGCATGTTCTGGGTCATACACAGTAATGATGCCATCCTCATAGACAGCCGAGTAGTAATGCCAAGTGGCAGGTGATAACAGCAGGCCAGAAGATGATCCAATGGGAACTGGCAGTGGATTTCCCAACTCCTCATTCACTCGTATTTTTTTACGTGGCGGTGGAAGAGACACCATTGTACTGCCTATAAATTGGGAGAAGGGGATGATTTAAAATAAATTAAACAAAGTTTTTTCTTCTATAACAAAATCTTTGTGAAATTACATAAAAGGTATGTACTGTACCAAATTATCAACAACTTTTATAATAAATTAATTGTTAGTTTACTAGCAAATTGGAAGAATTTTTCTATAATTTTACAGTTGTACCAAATATTGGTAATACTTTAGGTGTCCGTCTCATGGGAAAGAGCCACTTGAAATAAATTTTATATAAAAGTAGTGGTGCAAACTTGTTACTTTCCTCATGGACAGAAAGAATTATGTAGACTTTCAAATTTCCCACTTTTGGTTTTCCAATGTTTTCACCCTCAACACGCTTCTCCATGGCACAAAGAGCTATCAAGGAAGCCACCATTACTTGTTTAAGCACATGCCAAGAGATAAAGATTTCTTAAACATTAACATTTCCCTTAAACACAAAAAATTGGCAGCAGCTTTTATTATTTCTTATATCATTCATAATAATACAATATTAATAATATATACCACAAACTAAAAAGGATTTGCAGCAATTTTCACATTAATAGTTTAGTGATAATGTATCTGTATTGCTGGCAATACATGGTATACAAATTTGCCTATGAGCTTTATAACTAAATTCCTGTTTTTGTGCTCCATTATTCATCCAGATTTTTTCAAACTTTTGGACAGACTCGAAGTGTAATGACACTTTCAGGTAAATCATTTTGATCATTAGCCTTTTCCTGTTCTTAAAAATCTTCTATGAATGCCCTCTAGTTATTCTTTCTTCATTCAGTAGGATCACACCTTCACAGGCCTCATTATCATATACCCTACATAAAATCTTTTTAACACCCAACTCCTTTTGAAGCTTAAAGTTTTCTTTTTCCTAAAGTTTTTTGTGCGATTCATTTGGTTCTAATATCCATTTCTGTCGTAAATCACTCATTTCTGCACAATCCAACCTAACTTAATTAAATCTACCCTAACCTAGCCTGATGGGTGTTCATACGGAAAAATGCCAAATCTTATATGTTCCAATTACTGTATATCCCATCTTGATCTTCTGTAAACAAGTGTGGGTAAATTTGATTACCTTAACCTCTCCTCATACGATAAAGCATTTAGAGAAGATATATACTAGCTTGGTAGCATTGTGCTGAACGTTCCCCACGTCCTCAATACCTCCGAACAAATACAAACTCCACGCTTGATTTGCATATTCCAGTTGAGATCTAACAAGTAAAATATACATTACTTTTTATATCTCAAGATCCAGGTAATTATTTACTGTACATGAGATAAACCAACCACATTTAGCTGACCTGACCTAACTTTTAAGGAATGAAAGGTTTTATTTTGTTAAATATTTTAGGTTATGCTAGGTCGGTTGGTTTAGGTCTTTTTTTTTGTTTTACTTTTCAATGGGTGGAACACAAACATGACAGTCCAAGTGGCAGGCACCATTTCTTTCTATTCATGAGGTCAGAAATAAGTTGTCTTCTATTTTCTTTTATTTATAATTTTATATTAACTAAAATTATGAATTATTAATTTTTTGGGTATTTCACTTGTTGCCACTAAACAAATCTCGGGAATTTTTTAGTTACAATCAGTGATTTTGACAATTCTGGGACACTTTTCTTCAATGGCATTTTTGGTGCAAATTTTATTATGTATGTTCGTACGTTGGTTTGTTGTTCTTTTTGCTCGTCTGGTTGCTCCTGTTCGTTAAGTTAGGTTTGGTTGGTTAGATTAGATTCAAAACTATGTTTTTCTGATGTTTTTTTTGTGTTTTGAACACTTTTTACCTTGTTTTTTATTGCAAATCTCTAGATTCTGAGGTGGGAGGGGGACATATCTCATAAACCATTGATTTGCACCAGAAATGAAGGTCAAATTGGTCTTTTTATATTAGTGCACTGTTCGGTAAATAAGCATAAGTGCACACAATTCTGTTAGAAAGTAAAAAATATGTTTTTCTAGTGTATTTGTGTGTGTTTAGATCGGTTATGACCTTCATTTCTGTCGGAAATTGGCCATTTTTTTGGGGGTGGGGATGGGGTGTTTTCCGACAAAAATTATGGCTAAGCGAATGCAAAATGCACAAAAAAAAAACACTTGAAAAACATAAACCTGGCCTAAACTAACTGACTCTCGCCATATGATGGAATCACTTATTTCTTATCGTATTGGCCTGGTTCTCTTTCGTCGTTACATTACGAGTCACCACAATGCCACATATGTTGGTCTTGACAATATTTACATTCGTTCTTGCACTTAGGACACTTTACTGAGGTCGGGAGAACACCATGAGATCGAAAAAATGCTATTTATGGAGACACGCAGTGTGGGAGGTGAGGTAGGCGATATTGGCGTTAGATTAATGGAAGAAAATAGAGAAAATTTTGGATACGCTATTTACGTTATACATTTGCGACGGTAATGTAATAGAAGAAAATTATCTTATAATTAGATGTCTTATTCGAATATGATAATAGATTAAGGGTAGGAATGTTGTGTGAGGAAATGCAATAATACCCACCGTTCTATCTAACCTAATCAGGGAGGATCCACCCCGTTGGACCCCCCCAAGTTAGGTTAGGTTTGGTTGGTTTTTGGTGATTTTCTATGGTTTTTTCACATATTTCTAATACCAAATGAAAGGACGGTGCACTACTATAAATTGACCGTCACATTCGTTCTTAACACATTAAAAAACACCGAAAAAAAACTTCAACCTTGATTTTGTTTTGTGGAAACAAGTGAAAAGTTATCAAATTTCCCTAAGTGGTTCATTCCCATGATTCATACATCGAAAGTACTATCAAAATGATTTTTTTAATGTATATTTTTGTTGTTATTTAAACAAGATCTCTGACCTTTACAACAATTTCTTCTTTCTAGGACTAAGCAGTAAGTAACAGCAAAATCAAACTACTTTCCAATATACTGTATATACATTGGAGCCTGAACTTGAACATTAGCATATCGAGAACCCCTACACCAATTAGTGTTTATTACATTTATCACAACATTTGGCATATACAACATAATACTGTATACCCACTTTTACCGGGTGCCACACAGGACATGAACTGCTGTTAGCTTGTTATTGGTGTTTGTTTACTATGACGTCATCAACACTTTCCACACCTGATCCCTCAAGTGTTTTCTATCTATAATTCAATAATATTTTCCACAATTTCATCTGGGTATCTTTTAATTTATAAGATGTTAAATGTACTTGTATAATAACCAATGACTTTACAACGCACATGAATGAGGCGCCACTGTAGTTACTGTGTCGAACAATGGGAGATAAATAAACCATAAGAACTGTCTCGGAGTGAATGAAATATTTGTTTTTAATTTCCAATCATAATTTCATCACTTTTTAGCTTACCAGCCGTTCAGCCGGTTGATTTATTCTTTGTTACGAATTTTATTGTTCAGTGCTTGTATAGTAAAAGAATACCCGGAGAAAACCTACCATACTTAGTCACACTGGATAACTATCAATAATTGAACCCAGGACAAAATAGTGGTAAACCCATTACCACTGTACCACCAACACCAATTCTAAAGCACCTAGTTCAGAACCCCCTAAGTCAGATTTTTATTATTAATGTATAAAAACTGAGATTGATATTCATTTGTATCATTAACTCGCCTCTCTTGCGTAAAATTTTTATGTTAACAATACTCCATACTAATTCCAGTAACTGAACAAAAGAAAATGTCTCACTATTGATATGTGTCTTTTTTGGGCTATCCGTGGTGGAGTATGCCTACTGGTTTACCACTTTGTGTACTTGTATTATATACATTGTTTGTATAACTACACTATACATTGTAAACCTGCGCTTTATATATATATATATTGTTTGTACACCAGAACTCTATGTATATTGTTTGTGTGCCTACACTGCAGAATGCACTGCACATTGCATACCTGCACCAGAAATATTGTTTGTATACTTGCAATATATTATATATATTGTATAACTACAGTGCATATGTACATGCTGAATCAATGTGTCCTTGAATGAAAATTTTACCAAGTACATAATCGATGATATATCTCCACGGTATTAACTATATTCTATGTAAGGGGTTCGGGTTGAGTGCAGGGGTTCGGGTTGAGTGCAGGGGTTCGGGTTGAGTGCAGGGGTTCGGGTTTGAGTGCAGGGGTTCGGTGTTGCTACAAGACTCGCGGGTCAGAGAGGGTTTAGACTCTCGAGCCTGTGTTAGCGGCCGCCCATCTTCGTCACCACCAGATTGCTAACGCTGTGGTTGCTGGGCACTAACAGCGGTTCTCAGGTTCCTTGACAGTTGGCTCTGACACCAGTAAAGACCAGTGGAGGGTAAGGAGAAGGAGACGTAGCGAGGTTCCTTCACAATGCCCGACAATCCTCCCGCCACTCCAGCCGTGGACAAGACGCCATTCAAAACCAAATTCATAGAATGTATGTTATTACAGAGATGTACTGTTGCCTATGACTTAAAAAAACTCTCATAAATTAACCACCTCTCTGTATTTTTAGGAATTAGTAGTTAATTTCATGTATCAACTAAAAGAATAGAGGCATTGTTTTAAAGTGTTTTAGGTGATTGAGGTAGGTTTATCGTTTATTCAACAGACTCTTCGTACACCAGCTGAAGCAAATAAAAAACATGGTACTTTAATTACTTTGTGTACACTATGGGTAGTAAATGGTTAATATTTAGAAATTTATGCCAGGCAACTGAATATTGAAAATGAGTTTTTATAGTGTAAGCCATTGTTCAATACACATATGACGTTCATTGCCATAAAAAATGAGGAGTACTTGAGATATTGAAGAAAAAACCTAACCTAACCTACCATACCTAATCTCACCTAACCTACCTAACCTAACCTAACCCCTAGTGTGTAAAAAACTTCCCTTAAGTAAGAGATACAGGAGGATAGAGTATGAGACATGAATGAGGAAGTGGTGTCTTTGTCAGTTTCCATCTTTTATTACAGTACCATGCATGGCGATCTACACAGTACTGACACTGAATTACATCTCGGACACTTTACAAATGAAACAAAAACACTGCGAGCCATAAAAATGACAAGGGCTGCTGCTTCATTGTCCAAAATGCTCTGAATAATGCAGCCAGCCAATGTACATTTATCTCACACAAACAACATCTTCCAACTGGCCACGAACGCTGATTACCACATGAGTATTACATCACATTGGCACTCAAGCTGGTCAGTTTATAGTATGACAGGGTTGTGTTTGTGTGTCTCTCTCAGTTGATTTTGGGCATAAAAAATTATATTTCGCAAAATACCTCAAGTTGGTGATAAGGCTGGACCACTCATTAAGTACGAATTAGTGTTACTTTTATGACGTAGAATCCACGTGCAGTATAATCTTAGACTTACTCATATCACAGCAATGTCTCCTATAGCTGAGGGTTGGTACAGTATCTCAAGATTTAGTGAGCCTTTCCTCCTAGCCAATATTCTCAAAATCTCGTACGAAGTACCAGTTTTGTTAATCATCTTTGTACATTTTCTAATGCTATTAGGTCTGACAATAGTTTACAACAGCATGCGTTATGAGCCGCTTTAGGAATTTTTTTTATAATATTTGTTTTTTTTTACCCTTTTATTATCAATAAAATTGGGAGGAATGCAATTTTCATACTTTTTGTTCTTTTATAGTGCTGTTACTGTATTGTGCATTATTTCTCAAGAAAATTTAGCATGTATGTCATCACCTTCATGGTTAGGATTAAACTGCTGACTCACTCAACAGTAAATGGTTCCTAATGCTAAACATCCTTTTTCACTAATTTTCTATACAAACTGTTAATAATAAAATAACACCCTAACCAACCTATCTAATTGGACTTAACTTAGAATAATGGACTTCCATCTTAGGATAGGTGTGTATGTAGGTTAGGTCAGGTTTGGTTGGTCTATTTAACCTGTTAACAGTATATCATCATTGGTACCGGTAGTTAGTTACTGGTGGGCATTCATGGGTATGAGGAGACGCTCTTCATGTGTGAAATGCCGACTAGGACAAAATCGCAAATTTAGTGATAACATAATGGTTGTAAAAATTTTTTGTAAGCATTTATTAATTTGATAATATTGGAGCAGACGGCTAACACTAGAAGGAGTTGTTTGATTATGGTCATATTTTTCACAGATGCTCTTTGGATGATAGTAAGCAATAAAAGCATTACAACAACTTTTTATTTTAATTAAAAGTATTTATTTTATATTTATTTAGCTTTCTGTATCTACGATCATAAATCACCTATAGTGGGCAGGTTGAGGGAAATTTCAGGGTAAAACATGGTGAAAAACTGACCATAGGACAATAAAATGATGTCTCTGTGCTTTGTTTGCAAAGAAGTTAATTATTTATCATAAATACGCTGCCGAAAAATCTTCAGTGTTGACACATGTTGTTCGCTAGGTAGGTAGGTTTCTTTGGTTGGATAGGTCAGGTTTTGTCACACAGGGTATTAAGTTCTGTGCATTGTGGAAAAAACTAATGAAATCGAACAACTCCTTTTGGTGTTAGCTCTCTGCTTCACCTTTACCACAAATTTTTTAAGAAAAGAATATAATATAGTTGGTACGAACATGCATGCTTGAATAATTCATACTGAGGTCACATGTTTTTCTGTTATTTGTATACCATCTACACATCCCCAGAATTTTCCTGGTACCAGAAAATTTTTCTTGGAATTTCCAGAAAATGCGCCTGATTTTCATCTCGCAAACCCGGGAAAAAAAACTGCCCCCTCCCTGGAATTTTTCAGGTACTGGGAAAATTTCAAGAAAATTTTCCCAGAGTTTTCTGGAAAATTCTGACTTTGGGAACGATTTTCTGAGAAAAATCAATTCGCCTATTGGAGAGTTCCGGGTTTAAGGGATTCCAGCTAACAGAGATATTACTGGAAAAACTTTGTACCTGTACTCATTATGGATGGTGAGTGTGAGTATAAAGTGAGGCGAAGAGTTACTGGCAGCTGCTGAGCACTGGTCGTTGTTGTGATGCAAGAGGTGGTTCTGGTAACAAACATTATGTACTGTATATTGCTACAATCAATGATCAAGTCTTGGCTCATATGACAAGTCATTGGTTCATTTATTTTAAATGAGACACTAAGTGATGGTTTTTTTATCCATCAGTGACATAGCAGCTCCAACATTATGTTTTCTTTGGTTGTGTAAGCAGTCTTACTGCTGCATGATGTTTATTGACATGTATATCTTTCTTGCAGCTGAGAAAGTGTTGTGTTTCCATGGGCCACTTATCTATGAAGCCAAGTGTCTCAAAGTACAAGTGAAGGAGAAACAAGTCAAATACTTCATACATTATACTGGCTGGAACAAAAAGTATGGCATTTCTAAACCTGTGTTTTTTTTTAATTTACATTACTGCATTTACCGTTCATTAACAAACTTGTAGGAAAAAATGAGTATTAACTTTTGATTAGGATTAATCTGTATAGTACTGTAACAAACTTAAAATGTGAAGATAAATACAAGAAGTTGGAGGGTAATACGGGAAAATTTTAAGATTAATTGCATTTAAAGTTGATATACTGTACAGTACTTTGTTTTACTCGAAATTACTGCAATTGATGATAAGAAAATCCTGTGGTTTCTTTTGAAGGCCAGTGCTTCATTTTCTCTTTGATTTTGTTAATACAGTAGTTATTTTTGCGTTTTTATTTATTTATTTATTTTTTTTTTTAAACAATTAACAGGTGATTTAACTTATTTTCTTTTAGTATGTTGTTCATTAAAAGGTGTTCTTAGTTTTACATAAATTACCTCATTGATGCGCCACTTGCATTTGGGAAGAAACATAGTGGTTGTACAGTCAGAAGCAGTACTGTACAGGTATACCCCAAAAACTGATGTCCCAATAACCGCCAATTTGCATAAATGACGATAACATATAGGGGAAATACCCCGCAATTTTTGTTGTTGGCCTGGGTATCCGACGATTGGGAGAGGAGCAGCAGAGCTGTTTTGAATTTGGTGGACGGTGGCGTGTTGCAAATTCTTGCCACGAAAGGGCACTACGTGCTACCTCTGTCTCATTCCCACCCCTCTGCACATATTTACACTTACCATGTGTCTCCGACCTAGTGTCTTTTCGATATTTCTGATTTTGTGTGTTACTCAGTCATTCTTGATAGTAATAGTTACGCTTGTGCTGAGCTTAATGTGATGTGATAAGGTGTAATAAGGCATAATAAGAGTGGTGATGGACTAGCAAAGATTGGTAGAGACTTGAACTTGCCACCCTAGACAGTATTTACCATTCTCAACACAGATAAATAAGTCTCAATTTATGCTTTATATTCAATATTCCTTATTTAATACTATTATGCTTGCTTTATATGTCTGCTTTATTTTCTTGTTTGGCAGTGTGTACTGCAGAGATATATCAAGGGTACCCGGTAGATGGGAGTTTTTTTAGCGGGAGATGGCTAGTCCCTAACCCCCTCAATTTGTTGTACCCATTGGGATGAATTGCTTTGATAACCGTTGATTCACTAACCAACAGCTTTTCACAGTCCTTACATGCGTCTGTTATCAGGGTGTGCCTGTAGTTACTTACCCCAGTAACTGGAGCCACAGCCAGCGAATGCCAATATTGACACAATATAACATCTCCAGCTATCATTGTTCCAAAACTAACCAGCAACATTTAGACAGGGAAGGGAGATGGATTTGTCCAATCATCGGGAGCAGCAGCAGGCAGGCAATTACTGCTTCTGACTATATATATATGGGGGGGGCGCAATTACTGCTTCTGACTGTATATATATGGAGGGGGGGCATATTTAATTGTATAAATGGTATAATGAAGATGGCAGTGCAAATAATAGATATTAAATAATACTGGTCCTTGAGGGTGACATATTGTTGAAACCGTAAGATGTGTAATAGCTATTTGTCAGTTACCAGTAGTTTAAAGGATTTTGATTTACTTATGGTGAGAACAGATCTCATTACCATATTGTACTGTTTTACTTCCAAACTAATAGCACTGCTTGTGGGAGGACTACCAGTAAAGTACATAATTACCTAAGTGGAGAGTTTATGATGAGATTAGGTCTTTTTGGTTTTTAGAAAATTAGAGATTATTTCTTGTTTCAGCTGGGATGAATGGGTTCCAGAGAGCCGTGTTCTGAAGCTCAGTGATGCAAACATCAGCCGACAGAAGGACCTGCAGAAAGCACATGAGGCTTCATTGTAAGAAGATTTTAATCACATTGAGAGTTTAAACTTCTGTTTCTTCATATTGGTCATGAACGTTATCTCCAAATAAAATATCTACCCTTGTATTTAGTTCAAGTTTTAATACAATTCAGAACTACTGTATATTTCTAAGAAATAACTTAATTGAAAAGTGTACCACTGCCTGTAGCTCCATAAATCTTTCTAAGTTTTGTGGGTTATCAATCCAGCCATTGAAGATGATGAGAATCTGCCATGTTTGTCAAATGGACAAATTCTGTACACTGGCTTTGATTTATTTCACTTTGTAACTTCATACAGTACATCTTCATTATTTTTTCTATTCGTTTTGTTCTACACATTTCTATTTCAAACAGAAGAAACAAGAAATCTAAGAAGGAAAAAAAGAAAATAAAAGAACTAGGTAAAGATGGATTGCCTATTGGGGGAAGCAGCAATGCAGGTGGCAGCTGTGGCAACACAAGTGGTGGTGGTGAAGACTCTAGATCCTCCACCCCAAGCACAGACCGCTCTAGTAGTGGACCAGGAAAGCGCTCTGCTGCTTCTACACCTACCACTCCTGCCTCTGTGAAAGGAGATGATTCGGAAAATCGGAAGAAGCGGTCCAGATTAGAAAATACTGTTGATACCGTGAGTAACAACCATTGGAAGTTTTGTTTAAAATATTTAATTGTGTTTATGAATTTTGTACTATATTTAGTTAATTGGCAGTAAATATTCAAAGTTGTAATTAAAAGAAAAAAGCAACACTATTTCATCTAATGTGTACGTTAATTCGTATGTGTATGAATGTCTATATACGGTATGTATTAATTATATATATATATATATATATTTATATATATATATATATATATATATATATATATATATATATATATATATATATATATATATATATATATATATATATATATATATATATATATATATATATATATATATACAGTGACCCTCCGTTAGCGAACTCAACCCGTTCAGAAGGTGGATTAGTTAACCAACCATTGTTTCAATGGGTTTTTGGGTAATTGGTTCCAGCTCACCGAAAATTTCCTAAATTCAACAAAAATGGTAGAAAAGTTCACTTACTTTGAGGTGTGTATGTAGAAGGCTCCTGGATGATGATGATGATGATGATGGGATTTAGAATGGGGGTGGAGAAGGAAGAAGAGAAGGCATTGGGGTGGAAGAGAAGTCACCCCATGGTGCCATTTCACCCATAAAATTTTAGCTCTTGGTGTAATTCAAGATTATTTTCTTTAAATCAACACTGCACTACATTATATATTGTCAATATGTAAAATATATTTCAAAATGACCAATAATTTGCTTGGAAACACAGAAAAAAAGCATTTAGTTGAAAGAGTCTCAAGCAAGATGTTACCTCCAGTGAAAACCTGGATGCCGCGCATTAAACTAGTCACTTTACCTTCAATTATGTTCAATAATTGTTAAAATGACTAAAAAATTGAATATTAAACTTTTAAAATTATTGAATAGTATAAACTTCTTGATATTTACTAAAATAGTAAGGAATTTAAGCCCTAGAACCGATTAATGTATTGGCGGACTGATACTAAAGCTGGTTGCCCGGTCAGTGCAAGCGAAAACATGTTGAGGTCGGTTCGTAAGAACTTCGTTATCGAATTTTTTTCGTTAACCGAATTGAAGATCCTTATGGAAGGCAGTTCGTTAATCGAAATTACGTTAACGAGGTGTTAGTTAACGAGGAGATCACTGTATATGTATATATATATATATATATATATATATATATATATATATATATATATATATATATATATATATATATATATATATATATATATATATATATATATATATATATATATATATATATATATATATATATATATATATATATATATATATATATATATATATATATATATATATATATATATATATATATATATATATATATATATATATATATATATATCATGTAAATCCACAATGAAAACGTGGATAAGATAAATCTTGATAAAATCACACGGGAAAATGGAAACAACGGAGCACCTTAGCTTTCGTCTTTATTCAAGACATCTTCAGAGGCCTCTGAAGATGTCTTGAAATAAAAGCTAAAGATATAATATATATATATATATATATATATATATATATATATATATATATATATATATATATATATATATATATATATATATATATATATATATATATATATATATATATATATATATATATATTTAAATAGAATCCTTTTAATATTTTGGAACATAAATTATGCACCAATCTTCTATTCTCCTAAATACCTCTGTTGTGTAAGTCTTCAATTTGTTGGCAAAATTTGAGGATGACTTTCAGATGTGCCACCACCTCAGGCTACTCTACTGCTGGCTCTTGTGCCTTAATTTGAACCTAGTCCTCAGACTTAAACTGCATGGCCTTTAAAGTTGACACTGTTGAGGTTTCAGTGCATGTTACTTAACTGTATGACACTGAACAAATTCTGTAGGACTTATTCTATCCCAGTTGTGTAGGTTGTAGCAGTACATCATCTTGAAACTTGGAATTATCACAGTACTGGAATGATAAGGCGTTGCTCTGCAGTTGTCTAGAGTTTCTGAATTTCATTGGTCATATGTAGATCATAATTATAAAGTAATATATTTGTGGATAGAGAAAGTGAAAAATAAATGAAAATGGATTCTATTTATTTGCATTTAGGGAAAGAGGTAATAGTTATTTGCCATAGTTGTTAATTATATGGGCCAATTAGAAAATATGATTTTTTTTAAGTCACACTCAATAAACTGAAATTCTAATCATGGAAAATATGCATAGGATCTGAAATATTTAATAATGTTTAAGGTAAGTATGCACACACATTCATAGCCATGAGACTGATAATGATTGGTGAAGAATATCTTTGTATGGTATTGCTAATTTGTTCTTACACACATCCCTCATCCAGTGCATTAAAACATGGAACATTTAATACAGCACCGGTGAAGTGCTATTTTAGTGTTTATTATTTCACTACAGCACATGATGTGAAGTCTGTCTTAGCATCATTGTATATGAGACTGATGTGTTTGGAAGCAGAATAACATTATTGTAAATTGTTATTCCTTAACTGTCAGTATCATGTGGTGGCTCTGAATAATCATGTGCACTCAGCTCTTATGTCTTAAACTAGACCAAGTGGAAGTTAATCAGGAGACAAGTCAAGAATTTGTGCCCCTCATTCTGCATCATTATTATTAAACTTCTCAAATTTGTATAGTCCTTAAGTAATATTTTGCTGCTCCAATCAGCTCTCATCGCAATATTCAGTTATCACATATGAGAAAGATATGTTAATTGGCATTAAAGAACTAATTTATTTTTTTCAAGTATTTGACACATGAAGTCCTTTTCCGTATTCATTGCCATTAACCTCTTAGAATATCCATTTGGCCTGTCAGAGTAATGCCTTGTTATTGGTCATCTAAGGTGATCTTACTTGTGTATATTAAAACAATAATTTCTATAATATCGCCAACAGCAGTGTTACTGAAGTGTTTCATAGACTGTACTAGCTGTATAAGGTGAGATTACTATAACCTTTATAAGCTCTCAAATGGTACAATATGGCATAGGATAAAATCGCAAAAGCATTTTAATATACAGTACTAACCAGTTTAATAACTGGTGTCATGTTTTAAATTCAAAGAAAGTTAATTTGTGTAATTTGCAATGTTGTTTATTTTTAGGTACAGTACTGTATTGCCTTTCTTTGATGTTGTTTCAAGAAGTCTTTGTATTGATTATATCAAGGTGGATGAAATATGTTAATCAAATAAGCTAAAACTTAGTTGAAAACTCATGTGATGCGTCACCCTCTTGAGAACTGGCACTTGCCTTACATCGATGAACTGTTTTAACAAATTTCAAGAACAGTTAACAACCCACCATCTCAGAAATCAAACCTGGGCATTATAGCATGTTACTTTTAAAAAATGGCTCTGATAATTAATCCACCTAGAAAAAAAATACCAGTAACAATGCAAAAGTTTGACTGGGCCAAGATTAAAATTGTCTTGTATAGTAAATATCTCAGATAGACAAGATGGCACTTATGACAAGTCAATTATAGGCTATGTATTTAATAATTTGTTCTCTTTTTGTTAAAATTTCTTGGAGTTAGATAAACTATGACATTATTAAACCAGCAACTTAGAATATAAACTGGTCCTTACAAAAGGCTGCTTGGAGAAAGTCAAGATATATTAAGGACATTTTCTTATAACTAGTACTCGCCTAGAAATGGCTAGAGTATAGAAATCAGTGGCAGGAGATTACAATTTGAGTTGTTTTTATTTCAATCATTGGCAGAATGGATCAGCACAAGGCCCAGAGAATGTGGTAACACGGACTGTAGATGACGCAAGTATCTTACATTTTTTGATTGATTGACAGCCTTATTAATTTTGTTGTTTTATATTCAAATTATGTTTTAGATGTTTGAATTCATTCATGAAATTCAGAAATTTTACACTTGCGGAGAGCTTGTCAAGGCATCACAGCATAATGTACCGTATGTAAGATTAATGTTCATAATTGATATCACACACTGAAATTATTAATGAGCTTTTTAGTATTATGCACTCTATAGAACTTATTCTGTAAGGCTTTGGAGACAATGATTCGGAGTTGGCTTCATTTAGACCACCTCGGTCGATCTCTTTTAATTCTCAGCCTACCTTTACTCATGCACCCTCACTCTGTCTCTTGCTCTATCTCACTCACTCACTGACTATAGTGTTATACTGATATATTTTTTTTCCTGTTGTAACATTAATTTTATTTTAAAACTTTTGAACAGGGAAATGAACACAAATATGGTAATACATGCTCCAGACATAATCCGAAGATCTATTTAAATGTGAAGTTTTTGTGTGTAGTTTGGCTGATGTTTGCCTCTGTCTTATGAGTGTGTTGTGGATTATGACTTGGTGCTGTATTCATAGTTGATGGGAAATTTTAATATTAGGGTTGAAGGAAATCTTGTAAACTTGACAATCATTATTACCTTATAAGACTGATAGGCAGATATGGGAATTCAGCATTAAGTAGGAAGCTTCTCATGAAATATTCTATAAAACTTATCTCCAGAGATGTGTAATTTTATTGTTCAAATGATTTAGTAATATTGTTTCATTAAGAAAAAATTATGAATTGATTATTTGGGGTTTAAATGAGTCTAGTTTCTGCGTGATGTGAAGGTGTACATGGTTACCATTACTGTATACAGTGATCCCTCCATTAACGAGCACAATTGGTTCCACAGAGTCACTCGTTAACTGAATCTATTCTTTCAATGGGATATTGGGTAATTGATTCCAACTCACAGAAAAAGTACATACAAAGTACTGTTTACCGGTAATAGAATTAACAAAACATTAAATATAAACAAAATGCAATACTATACAGTATGCTGTACAATAATAAATAAAATACTTTAACACTTACTTTGAGGTGTGTATGTAGAATGTTGCTGGTTGAGTAGAAAGGTGGAGCAGAAGGAATATGATGGGAATTGGAAGTGAGGGTGGAGGAGAAGGGAGAAGAGCAGCATTTTAATGCTTCTTGGAAGGTGAATCACCTTGCATGATGTCAGGAACCTCTGGAGTGACAGATTCTTGAACATGAAAATCCATTCTTGATAATTTCACCAATAAAATTTTAAGTTCATTACCTGTATTTACAGAATATTTTATTTAAACCAACACTGCACTGTATGTTATCAATATGTTAACTAAATTTCAGAATGACCAATAATTATAATGTAAAAATGCAATAATATGTAAGAGCACAACTTTCTCGATGTTTACTCCACTGGAAACAAGGGTAAACATAGACCCAATTATTGGCGGACTAGTTGAACAGCTGATACGTGCACCAAAACGTGTTTCTTGTAAGGCTGTCGTTAATAGAATTTGTACTCGTTAATCGAACTGAAAGTCCTTACGGGAGCTAACTCGTTAACTGAAATCTCGTATATTGAACCACTCTTTAATCGAGGGACCACTGTATTAGAATGTGCAGTCCAAGAGTAATGTATGATGTTGCTTCTTATATATATATATATATATATATATATATATATATATATATATATATATATATATATATATATATATATATATATATATATATATATATATATATATATATATATATATATATATATATATTAATTTTGCATTAAATATGTAAACGTCGTAGTTTTTATATTATACGTTCATAAATTTCTAAAATAAAAAGATTAAAAGGGTTGCACAAAACATATAAATGCTATTGCATTTCATAGGCTAACTTTGGGCAGTGGGAAATACATTTACAGTACTTTTGCCCTAAAGAAGTATCTTGACAACCAGAAAAGGCAGATTACTATTTTTAATGTCGTAAGAAGTGAGTGATTTAAAAAAATTAAAACTAAACAGTCATTTATCATACACTTAATCTTAAGAGTATAATATCATGTCATACATGCAACAATAAGGGTACATTTAAAGATTTAGTATGAGCAAAATACTATTATGAAGTGGCCAGATATTTCACTCTGATTATGATGTCTAGATGTATTTCAGAAAATTCAATATTTTTCACATTAATTCAGACATGTTTGAGCCAAAGTTTTATCATAAGTTATGACTGATTTACTGCTGTTATGAATATCGATGTTTAATTACCTGTTTAATGAAAGGAATTTTTCCCTCAAAGAAATTAATTTTTTATTTTTTTATATATCACTACAGTATTTGGTTTATATTTTTTACACAGCATTATAAAAATTTCATAATGTCATCTGTAGGTTAACACACATAATTGTCTGTTTTGCTGTCATTTCAGTTTTACCAAATGAAAATTAAATAAACCTTTTTTCTTAGATCTACTCTCATTATGCAATGGGAATGCTAGATTCAAGAAACTACTGTTGCTACACAATGAAAAGTTACCTGTCACTGAAATTGCTTGAAAGTTGATTGCAAGCAGGCAAACTTTTCATGATCAGATTAAACAAGAACAAGACATTGAAAACCTAATGACATGGCTAGAGCTGGAAGATCTTCCTGCACTACTGTGATGAGCATGTCCTCACTGCTGCACCACACCATCCATTGACAATTGTTGTCATCATGGATGAAGTTCAATTGCGCAGATGTTCTTAAAGTACATAATATTATATAATACTGTACTGTAACGGAAATAAGTAAATCATAGAAATTTTTTAATTTTTCAATCCATGCTAATTAAATCACACACTGGCAATGCTGATGCTTGCCCTCTTAACTTATAAACCATTGGTTGCAGAATTTAATCACTAGCCTATCATAATTACTGTACATACAATATACAGTAAATGTTTGTCATTCCAATTGTTGTAAGCTGTCCAAAATATGTGAACCATTTTGTAGCATTCTGAATTCTGTTCTTGCTTCTAGATGACAATTTCTATCATCCTTTTCATGTAACCAATAAGTTACTGTATTTAAAGGATTAATTTTACTATTATACTATATTGATTTATATTCATAATAGCCATGTTATTCTTGATATACAAATTAATAGTCAAAATCCTAAACAAATTAAAGGCAGCCTACATATTATGATGTACTGTATTGGGTATAAAAATGCTTAGCTATAACCTGTTAAATTAAATATATACAATCATTTTTATTTATGTCCAATATCTGCAGTACAGTATCACAGGCATTATTTAAATGAGTGATGGTACTGCATGTCTAGATTTTTGTGGTTGACCGATACTGATGAATTAGTGAGGGATGCTTGTAGTGAATAGGTCAGGGGGTTTAGGAGAAACACCCTGAAAGGGTCAGTCAGGAAAGCATTACCGGGTAATAGAACTGAGTAATGCAGTCTAAATTTATTTTATTTTTTTCATTTGTTGGTACACTGCAATCCTCTTGGGTGACTTAAGTCTTAAAATTGTTCCAGTTGCTGTTATCTTTATTGAATGCCAGTGTGCCATGTGTGTAAGTACTGTATTAATACATCTGTGCTCATGTACCATACACTTTAGGGAGTTTATATATATATATATATATATATATATATATATATATATATATATATATATATATATATATATATATATATATATATATATATATATATATATATATATATATATATATATATATATATATATATATATATATATATATATATATATATATATATATATATATATATATATATGAAAATTATCCACACCAGAAGCTTCTTTGTTAACTGCATCACCATGGTTACTGTAATACCAACCCACAGATTCAAATTACCCCACCACAGTGCTAATCAGTTGTATACTGTATGGACACTCACTATAATATATTAATCCTCTCCCTGCGGCAGGCTTAAGACCTTGCACCCGTGTGTGGCTGATTTTCAGAAATTCTGAGATGATGATGAGTTAACAACAAGGCAGCATGGCACGCACCTCAAGTAGAGAGACGTAATACTGACATTTGTATTAAGACAGCACCTCAATGGTAATATAATTGCACTAATAATTAATTCATACACTTACGTTCAAGCTTGACAAGGCAATCGAGTGTCTATAGTCAGTGAAATCATGTTTGTACTCAGGTATTATCTTATATACCCCGACGTACATCCCACCACGTACACTGAGGCTAAGATTATCACTCCTGCCTTGCTGCCCAGCCTGGCGATGCCTTGCATCGGTGTTATCATTTAATCCACGCTATCCCCAGGCTCTAGTGCACTCTAAAGTTGGGCTGCTAGCATAAGACTTATTAAGAAGCAGCCAATTCCATGACAATCTAGCACAGCACCTGTTATCTGCCAACACCCTGGTGGGCGTGAGCTGAAGTTGCCATCTAGGCCTACGCCTTCCACCTTGGGACCATGGTGCATCGTGAGGCGTGGGTGAGCCTCACTGGCGGTAACAAGTTGCATGTTGCCAAGTTAGATCAACACTTTTGAGTGGCATGTGATGCCTCTTATAAACCTAAGTGTGAGGAAGGTCTGCACACAGTCAGGTAGTGTGGCAGATGCAGCTGCTAAGGTTTACTGGCATATACATTTATCTTTTAGCGATGGATCTTGTATAATTGCAGTCATCCTTTTTTTATATCTGGCATATCCCACAATTTTAAAATATTTTCCTTTAAAATATCAGTACAAAACTTGGCAATCGTTACCTGAGCTCTTGTAGTGTATTTTTTATAAAATAAAGACCTTTACCTATACTCTATCTTTGCAGCTTACAGTACTGTACTGTACTGTAAAGAATGTACAACTTAAAAGCTTGCTAGCCATTCGGGCAGTTCTTCACCTTGTGACCTTTGTTCTGTGTTAGGTTTGTACTCTTTAGTTTTCACATTATGACTGACCAG